AATCAGCTGATGCATCGGGTGCAGAATTATAACGACCCTTACCAATTTCCATTTCAGCCGATGATAGCCAACCCTCAGCGCATGTTCTCTAGGCGCCAAAGGCCACCAATGCCAGCGTTGCCGCGTATAGTCTTCGATCCAGCCTTTGACGAAATCTGCAATATTCGGATGGAAGCTAGAAAAGATTTCGGTCCTTTCGCAAGGAAGGCTTGCTAAAACCGTCGCGATAGCTGAGATCTGTGAAGTGGTCACTTGTGCGCCCCTGGAGAAAATAGGTCTTGCTGCCAAGATAGCAAATATGCTTTTCTTCCTCCGATCGCCATTTTGCTTGACTCCGAGGCTCTCAGATAGTGGCACTGTGGCGTGCTCTGCCATGCTCGCCTCAGCTTTCATGAATTGCACTTCCTGTGGGTTGAGTTTCTGACCTGTGCTCTCTCCAAGTCCCGTCGAAAAGTCACTTCCCACAGAGTCACTTGCATCTGCTTTCTGCTCTTCGTGCTCTTGTATCTGCTCTTGCGGCAAGTCGACATAAGAACGGTATCTGCGTTCGCTGAGAGTGGAGCTACTATGCCGGGTTGATACTGGTGTCCTGCGTTCGGGAATATTCGCTTTGGCATCTCTGAGTTCAGCCTGCTTACGTAGCCATTGGCGTTTTTGGTCTTCGAGCGCGTGTTGCAAGGTTGGAAGATCGAGTACTTCCAGCCAGCTTGAAGGTAATTCATCATTCCCAAAGTCCATTTGTTCTTTCGGGCTTGCTTCTCCTGGCTTAAGATGTATACGGTCTTCATCAGAAGCGTCCTTTGCCGCGGCCTCCTGACGCCTGATTTCTTCCTCTAACGGACGGACCCTTCGGTCCTTCTCACTGGGGTCACGTTCTTGGGAATATACCTTCGCTTGAAGCAATTCCAGCTCTCTTGCGCGTTCTGCCTCCAAGTTCGCCATGTTGACCTGCAATCTGTGGCGCTCCTCGACAATCCGCTCCATATCAATCTGTGACTGCTGCATCAGCCTAGAGATTTCCCTCTTCGCCTCTGAATCAACTTCGGCCATGTCCATCTTGAGCATGTCCAGCTCTTTTTGATATCTTTGCTGAAGTTCAATCAAATCCTTATTGACTTGCATACCAGCAGCTGTGTCGAGCAGTACCAGTCTTTGGTCAACCATCTCTTCCTGTATTTTTAGAGCAAATGGGTGACTATTACTGAGTATTGCCTTCACAATGCTCATTGCAGATTCTCGAGTGCGTGTATGTCGCATGACCTTACTGCCATGCTCGATCATCGCCCCCCAAAAGCCGTCTTCGCTGATCAGTTCCAGCTCCCGCTGCTCGCCGATCGTCACATACTCCAAATTGTCCCACTTAGTCGTGGCCAGTATTGTGCTATGCAAGCCTTCTCGTCCGACAAGCTTTTGGAACATGCGAAGATTGCGAGCTGCTGAGCCTCCGAGTCGACTGTTGTCGATCGCAAACAAATATATTAAGCCGCTGAGTCGGACATCGCTCTTGTAGGTGGCGACCATGTAGCTTGCAATTTCGCGGAGAATGTCGACATCCTTCCTCTGAGTATCGTCGAAACCAGGCGTGTCGATGAGATGTATAGTCAGCCTGTCGTTCCACTGGAATGCCCACTCCTGAACGCTGGCGGTCTCTGGGGTTTGTGATAGATCAGCATGTTGACCGTTGAGCTCACAAGTTGAATAGCACGACCGACCTGACCTGATTCCATGGCCAATACCGATGTCCTGCTCAACACATACACTAATGAATTCGCTTTTGCCAGCTCCTGTGATGCCCGTCACTGCGATGTATACATCTTCCCGTCTGCAAATGTCAGCTCAGAAGTTCTACCAGTGCTTTCCTCATACTCATCCTCATTTGTATCGCTCGAACCCATGCTGACGGAATGTTGAACACAAAGCGACCGCGAGATTGAGCTAAGCTGAACTCGAGCTCGAGCACAATGCAAGAGGGAGGTTGGTGAAAAGGCGTCTGACGATACGGTAGGGACCGCTCAGCCCCTCATGCCGTGCAACCCACGGAGTAGGCCTCTCAACGAATGCGAAAAGCCCATGCAAGCCGCTTTCGATATTGGGAGATGCTGATCAATCGCTGGACCTCGAGAACATGCCAGAGCGGCTTATGTCAAAAACAGGAAGAATTTATCAAACGCTATGCTATGCTATGCCTGCCACTCGTCGCTCCGTCATAGACCCATTGCTCTACACCACCGCCCAGCCATCCCACTCTCGCAGAGCGTGCAGTCCCATTCCAGCTCACTCGAGGACCTCCTCCAGGCAAACTCCTCTATCCGAATAAGGTCTTGACAGTATTTTGAGTCTCAGGAGGCAATGAGGCTAGTAGTTGGTTCGCATCGAGACCCGATATTTGAATAAGCTTCTTGCCCGCGCCAACAATTCGCTGGGCCATTTGACCTTGCAAAGTCTCTGCTTCGAGCGCTTGGGCAATGTATGTGAAGCACGCAGCAGCCTTGGACACCACAGTCTGGTTTTGTCTGCGGAAGCGAGTTAGCAAGTGTCGCTTCGTTGGAGGTGCTCTGGCTCGAGCGTGAAGGAAGGGTGCACTTACTCATCAATCAACTGCGCCAAAAAGCTATAAGCATACGGCGCGGCCTCCTCATCATTCGTCACAGGCAGAGTATCCACCCAGCCAGCGACAACATCCGACACGTTCTGCACCTTACTGTTGTTAAAATGAAGAATCTTTGCGATACTAGCACAAGCATTCTCCGTTGCGAAGGCATCGTCCTCACTTCGTGCATTCGGTCGCTGCGTCACTTCGAAGAGGATGGGAAGTGAGCCGGCAGCAAATTCGGACCATTGCTCGCCGCCCTTGTGCGCAGCGACACCAACACCATAGCAAGCTGCTTGTCGATTCGCAGCAGCGTCGTCTCGCATACCATCGACCAGCGGCTGTGCGATATGTGAGTAGTAGTGCCACGACGCGGGACCGCAGAACTCAAGGACATCGTCGAGGATGCAGAGAGCCCATTGCCTTTGTGTCGGGTCGGAGTTTGTGACGAAAATGTCGTAGTAGTTCAGAAGTCGCTCCCAGTGAGGCAGGAAGTTTTGACCTTGATGCTTGAAGATGGTGTGGAAAGCCTTGTTCATGTCCGACAGCAGGGTCTGGTCGTCTTCCACGGCAAATTCGTACTCCTCGCCCGGTTCTTCACCGTCTTCGCGCTGCTCGGCCTCCTCAGCACGTTCCTTGACACGCTGTTGATAGTCCTTGAGCACGGTCTCAGCGGATGTGATAAAGGTGGCCATGTGGGTGTTCGAGAGGCAGTCTTTGCCGGATACCTCGACAGATTCGTAGAAGCATTGATACATTTCAGCCAAGGTCTCGATGGCGGGTTCGGTGTCGAGGACCTCAAGCACCTTCTCGATGGTTCCCTTCCACAGCTGAAGATATTCGTTGGAGTTGACGCCGTACGCGATCTTGTAGGAGTTGAGGAGGTGTGGGACAGCCTTGGCAGATGCGACTCGAACCGGGTCATGGAAGAAGAAAGCAAGCCCAGGTAGGGCGACTTTCTCCATAATCTCTGCGACATACGGCGCGAAGCCAGCTACGAGATTCTGCGCGTAGACGGTAATAAGCTCGATAGCCATGAACTTGTCGTCGAGCGTGCTGGTTTTGATCCCGATGTATTTGCCCTTGAGAGGGACCAGCTCCCAGCCCTCTTCTTGCTCGATTTGCGCAACGTTCTCCTCGTCGTCCAGAAGCTGAATGTCAGCCTTGGCCTGCGCAAGCTTCATGAGCGGTGGCATGACCGTCTGCAGGTAAGGGACAAAGTCTTGGCCGAGAACACGGCACATTCGGCCCCAGCAGTGCAGCAGATAGCTTTCTTGCGGATCGTCATCATCTGTGATGCCCTGCTGTACGGAGCCAAGAATGTTGACCAACTGGATGGCGTCTGGTCCCATTCGCTCCTTCCCAACAGCAAGCGCGATCAAAGTTGCGCACTCCATAGCCTTGGCGCGGAGCAACCTCTTTTCGCGCTCGTTAGGCTCTTGCAGAACGCCAAATAGTGCTGGCATGAGCTCTGGGTACCACTTGCCGAATGTGCTCTCCGCGGAGTCGGCAACAGTGGCGATCGTGGAAAGGGCCTGCTCCTGAACGAAACGCTTCGGGCTTCTGAGCAGTTGCATCAGGTTGGTCAGCAGTCTGTCGAGGTATGGTTCCAGGACCTCCTTCTCGGCCTCTTCGCAGAAGTTGACCAGCGCAGCAGCAGCGTGCGACTGGACTCGTGGCTCAGGCGCGCCCAAAGTCTCAATCAGGGCTGGGAGGACAACGGAGTGGTACTTGGACTGCATCGTGCCCTTAAAGTCTGTGCTCATCTGGCCAAGCGCGTTGCAGGCAGCCCATCGAACACGCGGGTGCTCATCGCGGAGGGTTGGCATCAGCAGCTGGAGGACCTGGTTAAGCTCCCCTTCCATAATGTCGGCACAGCCCTCTGATATAGCACTGATGCACATCAGGGCAGCGTGCTTGTCCCTCCATGAGCCGGACTGGAGCATTCTAGGGAGCCAGGTGAAGGTTGGAGGAAGCAAGTCCTTGCCACCAATCTTGTTCGCGAGTCGATCCATGGTCTGCTCTCCCGCGATGTGGTTCGAGTCGCTCTCATCGAAGTCCACGTCCTCTTGCGCATTCCAATCCTCTGCATCGTCATCGTCGAGACCGACATCGGTCATCATCGACAGGCATTGAGTGACCATGTCGGTGATGTAATTCTTGTCCTGCTTGCACATCTTCGGGTTGTAGTCGGCAAAGGTAGCCATCAGCTCAAGCGCATTCTGGCGTGCCGTGTCTTCCAGCTCCTTGTCCGAGATCATTTGCACGCAGATCGTTACGAGCGGTCCAAAGACACCCTTGAAAGCCTTGCTGGCGACTTCAGCGAGCTCAATGACAGCCATAAGAGCCTTGGTCAAGCCCTCGGACTCGCGAGCGTCCTTCAGCGGCACAAGTGTACCTAGGATGTCTGGAATGAGAATGAAGTATTTCGGCTGCGCCTTCTTCGTCAAGCTCTGGAAGAAAGAGGAGAATGCAGTCATGGTGGCAATGCGCACATTGACATCCTCATCCTTGAGTCCCTTCTGGAACACAGCAATGATGACCTCCTCATGCTGCTTCTCAATGATGCCTGGTGTAGTCTCGAAGATGCGGAAGGCTGACTCTCTCAAGCTCGCATCGGGGCTTTGGCTGGCCTGGTAGAGAGCATTGAGCAGCTCTGGCCATGTGTCTCGCACGCCTTCGGGAGTGAGAATCTGCTCTTCGGTATATTGCCGTGCGATCTCGGCCACGGCATCGGCGATCTTGTGTCGGACAGTCTTGTTGGACTCGTTCGCGTAGTCTTCGAGGAGCTTGGCGCGGATGGCGGTCTTGGTTTGGTGGTTGAGTTGGAGGAAGATTTCTTTGCTCTCTTGTGTCGCGGCATCTTTGGCGGCACGCGTCGCTATTCGGCGAAAGATGATGGAGGCAAAGGAGCGTGTCTTGTACGTGTCAGTGCTTTGTCCTGCCTGCCAATACCACGCGTTTCCATGTCATGTGTACATACGCCATCATCGGTTGAGCCTCCCATCTGCTCGGCCAAGCCCATGAGCAGCACATCCGGACGCTTCTGCACCCATTCTATGTTGAGCTGCTCTTCCGCGTTTGCTCGCACAGTGTTGTCGGTACTCTGAAGAGCCTGCAACAGCTGCTGAAGTGCCGTGTGCAGCTCCGCCGGGAGGACAGACATGATGCTCTCGCGCTCGCAGTGTGCTCGTGCGTGTGTTGTTTATGTGGGGGTGACTCTGTGTTAATGGCGCGTAACCATGCGCCTGGGCTTCGCTTTCGGTCGCCGGCCGGCCTGAGTGAGTGTGTGTTCTGAGAGCGGTGCGCTCGAGAAGTTTTGCAACGTTGGTAATGCCAGGAAGTCGCTGGTGGGACTGATCTGAAGTTGCTAAGGTATGGACGCAAGCGTGAGCGCAAGCGCGTTGGCCAAATTATTTTCCAGCGCAGAGACCCTGGACGCTTCTCCAGAAGCAGAAGCAGGGGTCACGTCAACTCCGCGCTCGACCAATCACCGCCACCGCTGCACTCGAGTCGGCAACGTCTGTTTGTCCTCACTAATGTTGAGCTGGGCGCTTGCATGTGACAGACAAAGAGACATTGTAAAGAGAGGACACGAAAGCAATCGACCCATCGGCATGTGCTTCTCATTCCTGCTGATCGCCGAGCTCCCTTGCATCAATCCATCATGCTCTTCTCGGCACACCGAGACATCGTCATTAATAAGGCACACCACCATTTTGTACAATCTTTTTGTTCTTCCTCTGCTACTACCTGCTCCCCCTCCTCATCTCAGGCTCAAGATCTGACAGCGCCCAGCCACTATACAACCCTTCACTTTCTGGGCGAAATGAGATACTCCAAAAGAAAACAGAATCCTTGTCCCGCGTGGTCTGCTGGCCCGCATGAAATAAACCCCGCCCAATCCCTTCCATCCCGTGAATGCACCTCGCTGCGTGCTCCGTCAGACTGCTGGGGTATTTTCAAAAACAGATCCGTCCTCTCGTCAAACGCCATCCTGAACTGTATCAAGTGATATTGTGTTTCTGTCTTCAAAACTCTCGTCGCTCCTTCTTGAAGCGCATTTTCTCGTGTGCGAACGGGAGGCTGGCAAGTCGTTAGCATGTCAGCGTCCGGCTTCACCGCTCCTATGCAGCCACGCTTTCTGGACTGATCATGCCGTTGTTGTGCTCCTCGTTCTTTTCCGGATCTACACCATTCTCAACACGCTCTGGCATCTGCAGCCGTAAAGGAGGTATTGGCTTCTGCTTCTCCTTTTCCGCGTTCTCCTCCAGCTTCCTCTTCTTCTTGGCTGCCTGTGCTTGTTCGCGTAACGGCCGCTTTCGAGGTGATGTGATTTTGCCAGTTGGAGGCAGGCGAGGCTTGGGGAACCGCTGCTTCTGAGGAAGTTCTTCGTCTTCGACAAGAGGCTCATTGCGGTTATTGCGCAGCTTGTTGGAGAAAAAGTCCTGCACCAGACCGATTTCTTGAGAAAGATTGTCGGCAGTGACTGGCTCATAAAGGGGTGGCGGCTCGAAGATGAGGCCGTTTGTGGAGACCGGTCCGGCATTCTGAGCCTGGTATTGAGCGTGCATGCGGTTCTGGAGCAGGTGAAGCGGCACAGAAAGCGATTCAAGCCCAAATTCATCGGCCAGGCCCAGTTCCCTAAAGCCAAAGAAGTCCTCATCAAGGTCTTCAGCAAAGTCACCTCCCACGAATTGCTCGCTGCCGTCGTTGAATGCGCCGACGCCGTCGGCCCCGGCATGATCGCCTAAAGCAGGCCGCTAGATGCTTGTCAGTCTTATCCCTCCGTCGCATCATAACAATCACTATACTTACCAAAAGATCTGCCAAGTGCGACTTCATCCGCTCATGCATTATTGTCAATTTCGAGCCTTGCCTTTCCACGTCGTCGCGAATGTAACTCTCCAGTGCCTCGAGGTCCATGCCATTTTCGTCCAGTGTGTGTAGAATCTGTTCCTCAAACGTGAAGGCGGGCATTTCTGGCTCTGGCTTAGGCTGTTCGTGAAAGCGCTTGAATCCTTCGCCAACCCGCTGCATAAATTCGGTGGCGAGATCCGTCATGGAGTCAAGCGCAGAAGGCTGGAAGTCCTCGAATCCAGCGTGGTAGAAGATCTTGCCAATCGAGCGCTGCAGAGCTGAGCGATTGACGTAAGGTGCCATCAGCGGCCCCTCCTCGGAAACCACCACGGCGCCCGGGTCTTGCTCAATGAGTGGTTCAGGCTCATATTTCTGGAACTGGTTCTGATACGTTTGCGCTTGAATCTGCATCTGCTTCACGATCCCGATCTTGGCGCAAATCTTCCTGGTCTCCTGCATTTGCCGGATGTTGCCGTCAATTTTCTTGTTGAGGGCTCCAGAGGTGACTTTATAAGTCGTCTTGGGGAACATTCGCATGAACTCTTCCGTCTGAGGCACGACGTGTCCCTCAGAGTCTGTCGTCCACTTCCAGCGTGCATTGAGCTCAGGTATGGCGCAGAGGGGGTCATAGTAGTCTGGCAATGTCGAGTCACCCTCTTTCTCAATGCCTTCTGCCAAAGTCTCGCCACCGGCGGTGACTTCACCTTCCCCGCCTTCTGTGCTTTCATGAGCTACAGCATCAACAGTAGACTGCTCGGTAAGCTCTTTTTGTTGTCGTACGAATCGTCGCATCTTTTGCTTGTTTCGCAGGAGTGCGTGCTCTTCCAGATTCAGCTTTCCTTCACGAAAGAGTCGATTCCTCTCTGCAGCTGCAGCAGCTCTGTCCTTTTTCGTCACATGCTTCCATGTCTTGAGCTCTGTGTCGTCCTCGTCTGCATCTTCTGTTGTCGCGCTAAGGACTGACGGCCTGTCCACCTCCATGAGATCCATTTGACTGCCTGCAAGACCACTGCCATGTATGCCATTTGGCATCGGTGTTGTGTATCCAGGCGGTGGAGTGTTAAAGCCCACTGAGCTGGCATCAGGTATTTCTGAATCTGCTCGCAAGAGGCCGTTCCTAAGATGGGACGGTTGATGCGACATCTGCGGGGGTTTCGTATCCGGCGCGGGCGTTGAGCTGCTATCATCTACAGCCACAGAAGGTGCGCCTGTGCCTTTCCTCGCAGACGTTGTGGGACCTCCTTTCTTTGGAGCTTTTCGACCTCGCGAGGCCATGATGGGCGCATCGTCCTCATCGTCATCATCATCTTCCGCTGCGTGTAGTCTCCTCTCTTCTGCTTCCACCTCTGCTCGATCTCTTACCGTGATCTCTGGGATGAGCGGAGTCAGTTTGTCAGCCTCCTTGCGCATGTACAGGGCCTTCTTCCTAAGAGGGTGCGCCGGATCCTGATTGTACTTCAAGCAGTTCGCCCAGATCAAATTGAGATCGTCACAGAAGTCACGCTTGCTCTTGTACCCGAATTGCTTCAGCTTCTTAATCATAGTACCAATGTCCATGGGCTTCATAATGATCTGGTAATAGTCCGGCGCTTCTCGTTTGCTGACGCGCTGCAGAAAGGGTTGTGCGTACTCGGTCATAGCCTTCAGCTCCATGAGCACTTTCTCCGCAGCTTCGTACAACTCTTCCTGCCCGACCTTGTCCTCGCTCGCCCACTTGCTTCGGCCTTTCCTAACTTCCGAGATGAGCGACCTGAGCTGGTTGTCTGAAGCTCGCACCATGTCGCGCTTAGCGTCGATTCGCGCTATGAGATGTTTGAGGGTCAAGCTGGAGGAGCCCAGATCCGCGCTTCCCAATGACCCTTGTGTAGCAACCGCAGCCCCATTGGTGCCAGGCATATTCGCAGACGCCGTGCCATTTGGCCCGCCCGAGGTCTCGGCTTCTACTTCTCGATCCAGCTCATCCAGCTTCTGCTGCTCCAGCATCGCGTCGCGGTCGTACTCGAATGTGTAGAACATGCTGCGGAAGCTCTGTGTCGCCGCATCCGCCGCGGCCTTCTTACTATCCTCCAACTCCTTGCGCACATCTTCGCTGCTCTTTCCCTGGTCGGAAGAGGTTGACGGTCCAGACTTGGGAGGGGTGGGCTTCACTGGCGGCGCCGGTGAGCGCACAAGGTGCGGCGAGAGTCCATTCAGCAGCGCGGCCTTGCCCTTGCCTTTCAACGGGCTCTCTTTACCTTCATCATCTTCATCGTCCTCGTCCTCGTCGTCCCCGTAGTCGTCGTCGATTTGCCGGGCGGCCTTCTTGGGTGGAGCGGAAGTCTTGGCACTATCATCCAGGCCGCTTTCGGTGGGAGCAGGATCGAGAGGTTTCTGGCTTGCGCGACGGTGCGCTCCATCGCCGCCGAAGAGCGCATCAATGCTCGCTTGCATCGAGTCCCAGCGGGCCTTGAGCATGGCGTGTATGGGGTCTTCGTCGCGCTCCTCCTCCTCCGATGCCGCGCCAAGGCCATGGCCGTGGCCGGCTGAATCAATAGTCGCCGTCCTGGTCATGCTTGCCGCGCGCTTCGCACTCGATCCATTGACGATGCCATTCGTATGGGCGGCGGCGGGGCGTGGGTAGCCATTGACTGCGGACAGGCGCGATGGTGTCGAACTCATGCCGCGGACCCGCACGTGGTGAACGTGTCCGCGACGTCGTCCTCCTCCAGCAGCGCCAGATGGGAAGGGTGTGCCGATATCAGTGTCATTGGACACCTGGACTCGCGGCGAACACGGTGAGCGTCAAATCGGGGGGACTGCGATGACTTCGGGTGGGAGTTTTGATGCACTTTGCGGGCGTCCTTTGAGAGATGATGTCGGCGTCGATCGGCAGTCGGAGCGTGTGCCAGTGCCAGTGCCAGCCAGACGTGTGGAGCGAAGCCCAAGGGCAAGCAACTCTGGCAGTGACGATGAGAACTCTAGTACTGTGCAGCGCTCGAACACTCCATGCGCATGGCCCAACACGCTCACCCTCACAATGGGCTGGCTGTGCAGGCGCAATAATGTCGGGTGTGTCTTGCAATACCATGTGCCGTGTGCGCAGACAATGAATGTGGTGTCGGCGCATGCTGGCTGGCCTCCGCGCTGCGCTCTCCCAGTAGTTCTTTCATAAGCCCTCGGCGCGCAAGGCACATCCGTCTGCTAGACACGCAGCTGCGACATCCATCCACCCTCCGTACAGCAACGTGCACACTGCTCTCCCTCCAACCACCCTTATACCTCCCCCCCCACCGACCATGTCGCGATGATGCCAGCCGGTCTGCACATTCGCAAGCCGTTTGCGGGTGAGTCTCGGACCCCCACGTCCTCCTGCAGTGACATACATACGAAGGCTAGTTCTAACCCAGCTGCCTGCCCGTAGCTTCGTTCGCCGGACTGCTCTTGGTCTCAGCATACTTGGACCTGTCGACGCCCAAGATTCCTCAATATGGGCAAAGCGACAAGGGCTTGCACTTGGTCACGTTTCTGCTGCTCACAGTACGTTGTACAGTCGTCCATTGACGCCATGCCTCCTGCGACCAACACTACCCTGCCCAGCCTCCATGCCTTCACCCAGCATCTTCTTACATATCTGTCTAGACTACGTTCTACTGGGCTGTAGAGCTACCACGACGAAGATGTATACATCTCACATTGCTTGGATGCACAGCTGGTCTCGGCATCGGGTCTGAGGTCCTGCAAGGTCTACTCCCCACTGGCCGCGACTTCGATCCTTATGACATTCTTGCGAATGTTGTAGGCTCAGGGTCCGCGCTTATTTTGTGCTCCTGGTATCACAAGCGCATGCTGGAGCGAAGACGGAAGAACAAGCATTATGACATTGTGCCTGGAGAGGAAGGAGATCTAGGAGATGAGGAGCGCGATGTCGAGCTCGGCGAAGGACCCGGTCTGGGAGCGCAGGAAAGTGGAACCATCTCCGCCGAGCATACGAATGGCCAGCCTACGACGGGTGAAGCAGCGAAGACCAATGTCACGGAAGAGCTAGATAATTGGGATGAAAATGAAGAAGACTGGGAGGAGGAAGGCGCCGAAGGGGCAAGAGTGACGGCTGGAGCTGGTGCCGAAGAGGAGCCTGCTAAGAAGCGAACGGATTGAGATGACATGATAGTAAGACACCAGGTATTGACATGACACGGACTATGATTGAGCTGAACTCGAGCGCTTTGCCGATGTTGCGCTACGCAAGTCCGACTCAAGCAAGCTATGCCTTCTGACAGGCTCAAGAAATCCCGTGGCCGCAGCGCACGACTCGACAATAATGATTCTTGCCGCATTTTTGACGATTTTACTCTGTCTGCAACCCAAATCATCATGGGAGCTCAGAATCTATGGTAGGCGCACGTTTGATGACGAGTTTCACGCCGAGTTTGGAGCTTACTTTACGATTGTAAGACTCTCCGTGCAAGGATAGTCCATCTTTTGAAGCTACCTGTTTTTAACGATAATGAACACTTGACAGCAGCAGATACACAAACCTAACACGAAGCGCAGCGCAGCGCAGCGATGTGGCAGAAGCTTCAATGTCATTTCATTTGCTACTCGAGCAGCTTCGCTCTCTGGAATACTGAAAGATTTCGACCGAAACTCGACGACTTCGTGCGACAGGCTCTCGAAGCGTCTTGAGAAAGACTAAAGTGTGACTCGGCTGGAGGTGGCTATGTGTTGCTGCTATGAAGATGGCACTTCACGCGACCCGTGGTCAAGAGAGGAGAGCGGGCTTACGCGGTAAGAAAGGCACTCACGAAGCATTTGGAGGGAGATACATTTTGAGTATGTAGTGACATTTTCCGTCCGTCTCTTAGGATAACACGATTAAGTAGATCAATCCAAGCCTGCAACACGCTGACGCCACCCACAACTCTAGTTGTGTCCAACTCCAAGTAGATTTCAAGCTTCCGACGCAGCGAAGAGCGTCTCAATTTTCTCCTCCAAACCCTCTTTTTGGATCCTAGCATTGTTCTCCTCCCGCCATGCCCTGAGAAACTCTTGGCCACGCTCGGCGTCATACGCACCTTCAATGAGATCCTGCTTCCGCTGCTTCGCAAGGGCTTCTCGAGCAGAAGCCTCCGCGTGAGCAAGAAGCAGCTCACGGATTGGCTTATCTTTGGGACGAATGACAGCGACAACATCAGCCTGCCCGGTCGATTCGCCTTCTCCCAAATCAATCACCTCCACATCATCGACATCCATGCCTGTGGTATCCGGCGTCGGCGTAACAAACAATCGACTTCTGATATCCTCGCTCAACGCGACAGAAGGACTCTTCGGACCCTGGCCCTCCTCAATCAACAACTTCGCCGCGGCGATAAAATCTTGCGGATTCGACAACCATCTCCATTCCCTTCCAGGACTCATCACAACTCGTCTCAAAGCCCTCTGTGCAGATTCCGGATCACCCTTTGAGATCTCCGACAACGCCTTCGCCGCCTCGAGAGAACAAGTCGCCCAATCCTGAGCTTGGGCAGGGACATTCTGCTTAGAACCTCCCACCGCCCGTCTCGGCCCAATATCTTCAGGAATCGCCAGCCTGATGTTTCCATTCCAGTTCCTGGTGATTGCTGCGAGGAGTTGATCACGCTGCTGGATCGATTTTGGAGACCTCAGAGTTTCGTATCGACGGTTTCGACTGCGGTAGCACTCCCGACGATCTTTTGATCTGGTTTTTTTCATTGGGGTCGATGAAGGCTCGGGATCTGGCGTTGGAGAGCGGCGTTTGGAGCCCAGACAGACGACTTCATCGTCGTGGTTGTTGTTGTCTTCCGAATCTGAAGATGTGTCCGTCCAGGAAGGATCTTGCTCGGCCTGACGAGCATAGACTTTCTCGGCTTCTTCGAGGGCCCATTGCTTGTCTGCCTGACTCGAAGGCGTTGTATGATGAATGTCAAAGGTTGGTTGTGCGTAGGCTTGTACAGGCTGAAGCTCAGGCGCTGCCGCAGATTCTGGCTCTGGCTCTCGGTGCACCGCTGGTTGCTTGCCTGCCGCCTTTGCGGACAGCACGGTAGCTTTGATGTTACTACCACCAGCGCGTCCATCGCCATTGGCAGTGTATCCGAGCGCAGCCGGCACACCCTTTGGGAACACATTCGTACACCAAGACGCCGGCAACGGCCCTTTCCCGAGGACATCAGACACCATATCGATTGAAGAATCTGAGCCAAAGTTCCGCGGTCTAACTTGCTGTGAATCAGGGAACCTCGCTTCAGATCTGCCCTCGACAGAAAGCCTTCGAGCTCCAAGAGGCACGGCACCGGCTCCGGTCCATACCGGTGCATACGACGGCTTCTTAGGCCCGTTCTTTGGTTGCACCAAAGCTGAATTGTACTGGTGCTTGCGACGAACAAGTGCTGTATCCGCAGCAGCAGATGCCATCATGCCTTGCAGTGGTATGATGTAGCACAGGTCCAGCGGTTGCCTTGACCAGCGTTTTATTTGTATAATAATAACAAAAATAGTATATTTATATCCTTAATGGTTCGACGACAGCAATGTGTCTTGATAAGAGACACTGTGCGACGTCTAGCTATGTCTATTTATTGTCTTGTTAGGCATATTCTCGTCGAGAGAGCCGTTGTATAGTGATAGAGAAAGTAATGTACCTTGAGGTATTACAGTATAGTGTAGAGGTAGTAGTAGAGTAGGCAGTGGTGTGAAAGGACGAGGGAAGCTCTATTCCTATTGTCGAAATCCACGGCGTTTATATACACGCATTGGGGCGGTCCGTGCTCAATTAACTCATCACACGATGACAAAGAAAGCGGAGGTTGCGTGCATTACTCCTCAATCTAGCCAGATTGAGAGCAGAAATATATGCGGTTAACCTGCTAGCTTTTGTTGCGACAGGGAAGCTATTGGATGGTGGAAGAAGCAGGATTGATGATTGGAGTGCTTGCGTGTGACCAACAGCTCTGCTTGCATGAGCTTCAGGCAGCACGGCATCTTAACCCGGCTTGGGAGAGGTAGTGATAATGTTATCATATTTGGATATCCTATTGCGGAAGCGATACCGAGCACAGCATCGCTACAGTATTCGACCTTCTTCGACTGTTATCAGAACAGATTTGCAACCGTGCCGCGATCGAACAGACCTCCATTGGCGAGCGTGGCGCCCTCCTAGAACACCGCGCCGCCAATGATGAAGACCCGCTCCTCTTCGCGTCTGATCCATTGGAGCACTTTATTGGCACCTTGCGCCAAAGCCGCTCTTGAAGCATTCGGCCCAGCAACACAGTACAGTTCGAAAAGCGGAGTTTCCCATGCCAGAGCCGTGGAGTCATTTGCAATGCTATGTTGCACTTTCAAGTGCGCCGTTCGGGAATGTATACTGTCGTGAAGCTGAGAGTAAAGATTCATGAGTCGACGTCTGGCCACGGTGCCGGTAAAATGTGGCTCGAAGGACGGCATGACGAATTGCACGTTTCCTCTTGATTTGTAGAGGAAGTGTCGCAATGCTGTCCCCGGTACGATTTCGGAGCAAGGAGCATGACCTTTCCGAATTTCAGTCTTGATTGCAGTCATGCTGCCGTTGGCTTCAAGCTGTGAAATGAGTCGGTCGCGCATCTTGCGTAACTCGTAGAAAGCTTCCTTGTTGGCACTTATGAGCACAATGGCGAGCTCGTCATCTTTTGCGGCGTCTGCTTGGCGCTCTTCGACTGCTTCCGTCGTGCTTTCGTTTGTCGCGAAGAAGCTGACGTACATGTAGAGGTAGCCGGTGTTGTTGAAGCCTGGTAGGCAAAGTGGAATCCAATTCTCACCACCTCCGGCTCTTACGCTGCGAGCTTCGAACAGCATGTTGAAGATCAATTGCAAATCTCCGGGATGTAAAGAATGCTTTTTTGGCCGCACTACACTCACAAGCCGGCCCGCAGCTACGATGAGTCCGTAAAGCAGATTCTGGGAACGGACTTTGAGGAGTGAATCGTTGATCGTTCGTCGCTGCGTCTTACGGAGACGAAGAGATTCCAGCGCAGAGAGTAGGGTGGAGGGTGAGCCTCGCGTGAAGCCATCGGCGAGACCATCAAGCAGAACATCGGTTCCTTGTAAGGGCCTACGCAGGTCTGTAGACGGTCGATTGCGAAACATCGTCTCCATACTCGGTAAGGTCAGAGTCGACAGAATCTGCATGTAGAGTGACTCTAGCTGGTTCCTGAGTTGCGCCTCGCTCTCTGGCAGCCTACTGATCGCAACAAGATTCAAAGGAGCTCGAGAAAGCATGACGAATTGAGTGCCACCAGCGTGAAAGCTGTTCAGCGAGTCCTTTTGATCCTGATACGTGGAGATCAAAGTCTGTGCTACGCCCACGTAGTGACTGATTTGCTGATCGTCGCCATGTCTGCTGTAGATTGGCTTGCCGGATGCAGAAAGGATGAAGAAGTGCTTGAGTTTTGACTTCCAGCTCCGCAAGAGATCCTCCTCCGTAGTGCCATCCTCCCCCAGAGAGGTGACGTCGTCGAACTCGTGCTGTATCTGATCGTCAAGAGCTTCATCTTCCGGGAGCACAGTGTCGAAGGGGTCGTCCGTTTCGGGGTGAAGGCCCGGCCAAGCTGGAGCACCTTCGGCGCCTGCGACATCACCGATGATACTCTCGGGGTCAAGGCGAGCGTCCAAAGAAGGAATGTAGGATTTGATGGAGGCCGAGTCATCGCCGTCACTAATGCCTCCATTGCTCACGAAGCGACCAAAGTGAGTAAAGGAGTGCTTGCGAGAGATGGCTCGACTAGCGGGAGATGAGCGCGGACTTGGGTCTCCGGCATGTGTCTGCGTGTGGACGTTGGTCGACGACAAGGCCGTCGTTGGTGTGGAAAGAAGCTGCGGTCTTGACGATTGCTTGGATAACCTGAGAGAGCCGGACTGCGACAAGGGAGGCCGCGGTGGAAGCGGCGGCGGCGGCGGCGGCGGTGTCAGCGCTCTCGATTGCGCACTGCCATTCTCGGTCGTGACGTCTGGCATTCTTCATTGATGGAGACATCGGCATTAGGGGTGTTCTGCAGCCGTTTTCAAGCGCAGAGTGGATACCTCAACGCAACCCGATTGAGAATGCCAAGTAGACGAATATAGCCTAGTATGTGAAGCCTTAGGTGTCTGTCTCGTGCACGTTCAATATCTCTTGGCGCCTGGCTCTTGCTGTGCTTGTAGGTGAATGCTATAGCGCGCTGCCGCTATAGACGACTCGGACGACGAATTAGTGCCTTTGTTAATAGTAATAGGTGTAGCTATTAAAGAGCGCCGGCGGAAGGCCTATCGCGAGCTAAACGAGTATATAAAGAAGGACTAGTATATTAATAATCGTAGTAATCGCTAGTACCGCCGGAATACGAGGTATGTCGCTATCGCTGTCGCTATAGAAGTTAATGTAGAAGATTAAGTTAGAAGCTTAACTTCTAACGACCTTACTATCGCTACTTAGCTAATTACTGCCTTAGGTTTATAAGAGCCGAGATTTCTCGTCTTATAATACTTCTTTAGATCGACACTATTATATACCGATATAGGTACTAACTAACACCTAAATTGGCTCTATATATTACTCTACGCCGCTTGTTATTTCTATATACCTAGTCGACGCTCTCGGATACGTTTAGACTATAGGTTTCGATATTGTTAGTAATCTTCGGGGATGTAATCGAATACCTAAAGAACACCTTCTTATACCTACTCGAGTGGCATCTACGCCTACGTAAATATAACAACCTTCGGTCCTTCGTACGATTATTAAAAGAGCAAGGATAGGTAGGAGGTTTCTAGGGATTTGTTAATAGTACGTTTAGAGGGACCTATAGACCGACATATAGTTAAAGAGTCTACTATACTAGCTATAAGAAGAAGCATAGTTACAAATTCTAAGGAATAATAACACCTAACGGTATACTGTCTAGTCTAATCGGTCTATACTAAGGCAAGGACAACGACTAGAAGATCTTTACTTAATCTAGTGTCTAACGCCGGATTAAACGAATAATAAGACAACCTAGTAGGCGGCTTCTTTACCTCTATAGCGATCTAGTATATAAGTGTTGTTATAGCGTTATAAGGCTATATAAGAACGACGATAAGTCGCGCTAGTTAAGTGCTAACAAGAAGGACTAGAACAAGCATATGTCTAGGGCAAGATTAGCAATAGAATACGGCTTTAGAAGGTCTTTCAACCTCTAGATATACGGCGTACTCGAATAGTAGCAGTTTATTAAGAAACAGCCTATTGCGGCATACTATATAGTCGCTATATTGCTTATAAACTGCATAACTTGTCTACGAGGGCGAAACTAGACGACTAATCAGTTCAAAACCGCACCTCCGAGTATCGAAGAGTACCTATACCTATACGGCGGTACGCCTAAGAGCTTAGAATAATTCAGAAACTATATAAAACTAGCATATATCTGCTCTAACCGTTACCTTCTAATAGGCTCTATGTCTCCTATCTTCCTCCTTCTGTATTTAATCCGAGTGCTAAGACCTAACCCTATAACCCCGCGTTCTCCGCTAAAATAAGTAACGCTTAATTCTTATTACCCTTACCCCCCCTCTATATTACTATATATATATAGCACCTATATATAATTATATATACGCTTGTTTACTATTATCAGGTCTATAACATATTAAAATTTAGAGCAAATCGGTTAAGAAATGAGTGTGCGATAACTATAGAAAGGAAAGTCTACCCTAGCTCCGTATATTACTGCGGAGTTACCCCGCTTATAGCTTAAATCCCTTAAATTCGAAGCCCTCCGGAGCTAACTCTCTCGCGAATTTAGCTATTTCTGCATTACTAAAGGTCGTATTCACTTACTAAGGCATATACTAAGGTGCGGATATACCTTATAGCCTTGCCTGCGCGAACATATACCCTAGATTGGTAATAGTAGCTAGCATAGCCGCATTCTGTACCTTAACTTTAGCTAACTCGGACTTTAAGCTAGCAACCTCCTTACTACTACGGCTACGCCTCTGCTTCTTAGTATAACCTCTCGCTATTAGCGCTATAGACTCCTCTATTGTTATCTTCTTCTTCTCCTTAATCGCTTTCTTCTTCCCTTGTTTCTTAGTAGAATTAGCTGTTTTACTAGCAATAGTAGAGGACGTTATAAAGGGAGCCGGAGAAGCCGTTTCCGCCGCAGGAGTTGCTAACGGCCTTCTAGTATACTTAATAGCAACCCTCTCGGCAGTAGCAGTGTCCTTATCGTCCGTTATATCGTCTACGGACTTCTTATAGTCTTTAGTGCCGCTAGTGTTATTACTATTACTACTAGTAGACATAGATACCCTGCGTTTGTTAGCTCTACGCTATATTAAGTTCTTCCGTCTACGCTTAGTCTCTATACGCTCTTTAATAGCCGCTTTTACGTCGATAGCGGCTTGCTTCTTAGCAGCGGTATACTTATTAACAACTCGCTCGGCTTCTTCTATTGCTTAGAAGTAGTCGTCCTTATTCTCGCCGCTAGAATATATCTAGTTGTCGTGCTTATATTAAGCGTAGTCCTTTAGTATGCGATCGAATACCCTCTATAGGTTGCTATACTTCTTACGAGTCTCTATTATCTAGGCATTGCCGACCTTCGCCTAGAAGTAAGGCTTGCTATACTAATCTTCTTTAGTAACTATATGTCTTATAAGGCAGAGCTTCTACGCTTCTATATAACCCTTCCGTCTAATATTAGTTATTAGCGTATCGTCGTCTTTAAGATTAGCTGCTATAACGCCCTCTCGCAACTAGCTCTACTAACGAGCCTACCTCGCACTTTAACTTAATCGCGGAGCTCTCGGGGGTACCGGCGGAGCTATATTACTATAGAAGTTAGCTATTGCTATTCGAATAGGTTTAGGTATTATAGTACGCTTAATTAACTGCTAGAAGAAGCTAGGTATCTATAAAGGACTCTAGCTAAACTCGCGCTTAGTTAGAGCTAGAGTAGGTAAAGAATTAAGCTAGAAAGAGCTCTTTATAGCTTCTATAGTAACGACTTCTTACTTACTCGGAAACTAACCGTTATAGGCTCTATTTAAACTGCTATATAGACTATTAACTATTATACAGCCGTAGCAAAAGTGGACTCGACAAGCAAGACTCTTATTCTATAAGGGTCTTATAAAGTTACTTACTTAACCTAAGGTAATAGCACTATACCCTATATAGCACCGACGATAACCTATTAAGCCTTAAGACAGGCGCTCTACGTGTAGAGCGCCTTCAACAAGACAGGGGTATGTAGAGCCTGCTTGCTAACCATAATCGTCACCTTAGCGGCCGTATTCGGTTGAGAGAGCGCTTTGCAAAGTGGCTGCAGAACACCTCTATTGGAGTTGGGACCCCATCATCAGCTTTCCATGGCGGAGGCGTCCAGGCCGACACGCTAAACCCAAAACAGACCCCCCGCGATGAACCGTGTCTTTCTTCATCATCAGGCTTCGCTGCATTGTTTTGTTTCGGGCCGACATCGACATCCCGCGACATGAAGACACGACACCCGTTACGTTACCGCTGCCGCTGAGGGGCGAGCGCTCACGATGAGCTTGAAAGCTGCCATCGGCCGCGCTTCCATTTCACCGCCAAGCTCTGGTCGGTCTTCACCAGTGCCGCGTCGCCAAGTACGCGTGGCAGCGGAGAAGGAGAAGGGTATGTGAGTTGGCCTGGACCATCTGATGACACATCTTGGACGGCATTGACCGATAGATCAGACCTGTTCAAAGCCGACAAAGCACTGCGAAGATATGCCTCGAACATCGACAGGGCCCTCGCTACGTGGGAGATATCTCCAGAGGAGTGGGCGGATTACATCGCCTTCTTGGCTCGACTCTTGAAGGCCGTTCAAACGCATCCGCAGAATGTGCCTCTTTTGCCTCACAGCAGTGCGATTGCCACCCGACTCGCTCAATGTCTGAACCCCGCACTGCCAGCTGGCGTTCATCAGAAGTCCTTGGACGTCTATTCATACATCTTCGACACATTTGGCACCGACTTCATCGCTGCTCATCTCCGTGAATTCCTGCCCGGTCTGACACCAGTCCTTTCATTCGCATCTTTGGCAGTGCGGCCTTTGCTTTACCATCTCTTCCAAAGCCATGTTGTCCACCTTCCAACGTCCGATCTGAGACCTGCTCTTAGATCGATCATATTAGGACTTTTGCCAGCGCTTGAGGAGGGTCAAGGGGAAGACTTTGAGCGCGCTTTTGCCATACTGAACACACTGCAGACCCGATTCGCTCCAACAGCTGAAGATGCAGTCGCAAGTAGAGACTCCGATGGCTATTTCTGGCAATGCCTTTTCCTTGCTGTTGTAACAAGCCCTTCCAGAAGACAGGGATCGCTCAAGTATCTCGCGCGTCAGCTTCCCACATTCGCGCGCTCTGCTGCTGCTGCTGCTGGGCAAGAATCGAAGACACGACTGTCCCGCGAAGCCGAATGTATCGTCGCTCCCGAGCCAGGCTTGTTGATCCGATGCTTTGTCTGCGCACTTTCGGACTCGCAGATCCTCGTGCAGCGGGATTTTCTTGACCTCATGGTTGCGAACCTGCCATTGGATTCTGTCGTGCTACAAGAGAAAGTAGTTTCCGAGGATCTCGATCGGCTGGTGCTAGCCGCGATACAGGTCATACTTCGAAGAGACATGAGTCTCAATCGTCGATTGTGGAGCTGGTTTCTTGGTCCAGAACCGAAGGAACAGCCTGAAAGTGCTCAACCATCCTCACCGCAACTCACGGTCAAGAATTCCGAAGAGTCTCATGCAAACCAGCAGCTGCGGTATTTCACAAGATATGGCAAGGACAGTCTGGAACGATGCATCATCCAGATGCTCCAAAGTGCTGGAGACGATGTAACACAAAAATCCCGGCCTTTTAGGATCTGCCTTGCCCTAATGGATCGATGGGAGATCGGAGGCCTGCTCGTTCCAAAGATTTTCCTTCCAGCTATGCGCAGCCTCCATGATTACAGCCTCGTCGCCAATTCTACGGCCTCGGCCGAAGTAATCAGAAGCGCCAGTGGATTCTTTGACGGCGTCGAAGCCAGCCTAATTTGGGAATGTCTCTTGGAAATTCTCCGCGAGGCGCTGGAGCAAGGCCGGTCACCAACACATAACCTCAAGCTTTTTCGCTGGATCATCGACACCTTCAATATTCGTGATGAAGAGATGTTGACGGTCCATATACCTTACTCAATGGCGTACATGGCAAGTCACTTCAACTCACAGCCACTCTTGAGCGCTTCACGCCTCGCCATGCTGAACATCACCACAAGGCTGCTCACCCTCATTCCAGCACGGGTGTTTCAATCTAGGCCCAGCTCGTCACATAATCGCGACTCTCTGACCGATTCGAAGATTCAGAAGCTTGTCAGAGACCTTTACGAGAATGCACAACACTTGAGCAACGACCAGGTGCCGCCACTCGTAAACTCGGCAGCAGAACTGTTATGCTCTCGAATCAGCCTTGTCGCCGCATCAGCGCTCGAACAGTCCGGTGCAGACTTGTACTCTGGTGCTGTCTCAGCGATGGCAGCACTACTATCAAAGACTGATGCCAGGACCTTGCAAGACCCAACACTGCGCAAGGCTCTTTTGAATGCTTTCAGATCGTCGACCACCGTATCCTGCAACGTATCATTTCCAATCTTGGCCTCTACGGTATCACTCCTGACGAGCTTACATCAGTTTGACACGGGAAATCTCATGGCCGAAGCGGATATTGTCCAGATTGAGCCTGCTCTGACAGCTGGCATCTGGCGATACATGTCTCCCTCATTGCCGAAGTACCATGTCGAAGCGGTCAAGGCTTTCTGGCAACTTGAGGATTTATTGGCCTCAAGCGATACCTTTCATGCCTCCGTTGCTAACCTCATAAGAAGCACTCGGAAGAATTCATCGGCTCGAAACGCAGTAAAGCCTGAGACGATTCAACGCTTTGCAGTACTATGGGCACATTCGATATCGCCGACCGTGGGAAGTGGAAGGCGAGGCAGCTCGATGACGGTCTTGGGTGATTCAAGGCAATTGATGCGAGCTCGTGAAATTCTCGACAAGCCCTTACTACTCGTTCTTGATGCGCTTGAGTATCCAAACGATCCTGCATTTGAGGTTGCGAAAACCTGGCTCGCCCATTTACCTTCGCTTGGCCGAGTATTCGAAGTGATCATGGAGCGACTCTCTAGCATCGATCGGTACATCGAACCAAACTTGGAGCCAGTCGAGCGTGTTCGCCAACGATGGGGCCATGACCGACTGCGGGAACTTGACTATTACTTGAGTCTCGTGCAGAATCTACTCACTCACGGGACACAGTGGACGTGGCAATGCATCTCAAATACGGTCGTTGCAGAGTCCAGCAAAAGCGAAGGCAATGCCATTGAGGCAGTGGTTAGACACTGCATGCGGATTATGTCTAGCGAAGAGCACCCTTCCGTCCAGCTCTATCAGCGAGCTATCTCCGTTATGGGCTTATTGCTCACAAGCTCCGCCGCCACAGAATTGCAAAGCACGAATCTTGACGCGCAGCTGCTCGATAACTTGATGAAGTGCATCAAAGGCGAGATGTACACCTTCCAAGGCGACATGTTAAACTTGATCCATCGTGCCTTGAAGCTAGGACTTGCAAGTGCGGCAGCACGAGACTCCAAGGAAATCTCACAACCTGTTCCGCCCGTTGCGAAACGGCCTTCGATAGCGGCGACATCTCGTCCGGACTCCCGCCCTGTTGCAAAAGAACCTATGGTCATCCCGCCGCCTCAGCTGTTCACGTGCCTACGAGCTGGCTTTGCAAGTCCCAAGGCTCGAAACTATCTCGACAAATGGCTTGCATTCCTCGCAGACATACTGCCTACCTTCGCAGATGCCATCTTCTCTAATCTACTTCCGCTCGTTGAGACCTTTCTAGGCGAGCTCACGAAATGTTATGATAGCTTAATCGCGCTGTCCACATCGACTGATTCAAACAGCATGGCCGCCCCGGAGACTGTCATCATGAGCCTCCTCGAAGGCTTGGAAATGATTCTCGACCGTGCCTACGACTGCCTCATGCAAGAGACAGTGAGCGAGCCGGCACCAAAACAAATCGAACCGCGTGCAGGTTTCCTTAGCAATGTCACTTCCGGAGTCTTCAAAAGTGAAGGACCGCCAAGTCGCGTGACGACAGCCAACAGCCGACTCACAGTCATCCTAGCATTCCACGACGCTATTCGAGTGACCTTGAGAATGTGGCTGTGGGCCAGCGATGTGTCTGACACTTCAGATCTCGATCAGCGCTGTTTGGCTACCACAGCCTACAACGCGCTAAAGGTCCGCAACAAGACTCGTCACTTGCTCCAGCACCTGTTCTCTCTTGAGCCATTAGAGAGCTTGGAAGTCATCATATTGCATTGGTGCACCGCTCCCACTGACAGAGAAGCTTCTTCGGCGCTGAGTCTTCTGCATGTCATGCAAGTTTCTACACCCAAGAGCATCGTCCCTGCTGTGCTCGATGCTTTATGCACGCGTACCAATCCGTCGGCGATATCACAGGATCGCCATTCCAGCTTGACACTTGACATCGAGCCTTCAAGGGTCGCTGCGTTCTTCTCCTCATATCTAGACTCGATTGAGGACGATGCACTGGACGAGGTATGGCCCGATTGCATTGCTTTTCTTCGTGATGTCCTTGCCAATCCATTGCCACATCGTCAAGTCTTACCTCATCTGCTGTCCACCATCTTGCTCCTGGCCGAGAAGCTGAACAATACGAACTTTGGAGAGCAACGCAAGATGCGAAAGGACCTTGGGGACATCTTCCAGAGGCTGCTGAGCGCGACGTTCACAACTTTGCCATCTGGATATGTAGCGGACCCGGTCGCAGACATGGCCCATAACGGCGACAGTGTGGCGAGGACCATCGCCCTAGAACGATCAATGACGCTCATTCCGGTCCTGAGCCGCGTCGCCGCCAAACTGGACGTCATCCTGGACAGCCCTGAGAAAATGACCTATGCGGTCAACAACATATCGCAGAACCTGGTGTCGCCAATGTTTCACGCCAAGTCCTATCCAAGAAATGTCACAAAAGAACTGCTCGAGCTCATCGTCAACTTGTCACGAAAGGTACCAACGGCCAAGGCGTGGAAGAAAGAGGTCACCGATAGTTTCAACGATCCCCGACTACTTGCAAATTCGCCAGCTCTAATGAAGGAAGCCTGGTTTCCAGTGCTTCATCAATGGTCGTTGCATGAGAAGGATCGTATCCCAGAGCTTCTGTCTCGACTGGCACCTCCTTCAAGTGCCGGGATCATGTTCGGAGTGGGTGCCAGCGCTGCCAGGTTAGAAGCAGACCGGAAGACGCAATTGAATCTGCGACGTATCTGCCTGCTGCTGCTTGCCTCTCCAGGGGACACATACGTTGCGCATGTGAGAATCATCGAGGAGAAGATGTCTGAGCTGTTCGAGGCGAGTCCCGCATCGTCGCCATCTTCAGCCATCAAGGCTGAGCTATTCACGCTGTGCAGAGCGCTCGCGGTCTCGGTCAGCACCTTCCAGCTCGCGCCACTCTGGCCAATCATCAACGACAAATTACAAACAGCTCTCAATTCACTTCTGCCTAATTCTACGACAGGCGATGAGTTCAACAACTTGACACTCTTACAGGCGTGCAAGCTCCTGGACCTGCTGATCACGCTATCGCCGGATGACTTCCAGCTCCATGAGTGGCTGTACATCAGCGATACCATTGATGCGGTCTATCAACCAGAAGACTGGACACCTACTGCCTTGGCTGACCAGGTTGCCGAAGTGCTTGGCTCATCGAGTATGGAAGACAGTTTGATGCCAAGTACGTCGAGTGCAAAATCTGCCAACCGGCGCAGAGCGCTTCTGGGTGATACAGTGGACAAAGAGGACATCAAGGCGATGCCCAAAGAAGATTTTGTGCGAGCATCTCTACGACCATTTCTCAGTCAATTGAGCATACACGCTTATGAGGGTGTCTACAGTCTTGATGTGCCAAGCACCGACGCTTTGAGAGATGACTTGCTCACGGACCTGCTTGATCTGGGCAGCATTGTAGAATAGATTATCTCAATGGGCGGGAGGGGAGCAGACAATGGATGCTGAAGAAGCAATCGAATGCAGATTTGTAAGACAGTCGAACTCACTTTTCACTGCTGATTCTCATCGATACATGTAGACTCCTTGAAGCTTTCACGTTGTTGCTCAGATGCTGTCCAACATTCGAGCAGGCACGAATCTGTCGAGACTGCAAGCACTCCATACCTCCCTCGTCTGGAATGATGTCCACGTCTTCCCAAAACTTCCTCGCCATTCCACGAATGACAATATTGAAGCAGCGAAAAGTATGCCGATGCCGATGCCGACCTCATCAGAAATCGCGGGTCTCGACGCCCCGTTCTACAAGGAAATAGCTAACGGCTCTGCAGAACAAGTTCCTCTGCGACAACGCATTGCCCATCACCGCAGTAACCGAAGGAATCATCCTGTGCATCGTCATCATCTACTTCCTCAACTACGACCGAATCCTCGAGAAAGATCTTCCGCCTCACTGTCGCGTCGCTGCCGACCCTGCACGTGAACTTTGAAGTCACCTCACAGTGAACTTAGGCTGCAGCAACTTTATCAAACTTCACCAGGATACAAAAAAGCAACCGCAACGGCACCGGCAACGCTCCACAAAAAAACATCAACAAACAACCACCCAACCAGCACGAACACATCTTCACCACCACCACCACCACCAAACATCGACATCGACAAAATGCCCCTCTCAGAAAAACAAATGAAATACCTAGCCCTCGCCTGGCAATGTTTCGACACCGAGCCCAAGGCAAGTCCTCCTCCTCCTCCTCCTCACCTTCCCTCCCTCCCATTTTTTTTTCTAACATCATTCATCCATAGATCGACTACGAAAAATTCGCCCAAGTCGCAGGCCTCAAAACCTCGGCATCCGCACGAGAACTCATGCGCGTGACGAAAAACAAACTGAAAGAAGAATACGGTGCGCTTTCGGGAGATGTGCAGATGACGAATGGCGGCACGCCGGGGAAGAAGGTGATTTTTTTCTTTCTATCACGCAGTACTCATAGATGAAGAGCGATTCGCTGACGCGCGTGTAGAGAGCGACTCCTTCTAAGCGCAAGGCTGGAACTGGATCTGGGGATGATGAGGAGGAACAGGAGACGGTGACGCCGGCTTCGAAGAAGAAGAAGAAAGTGAAGAAGAGTCCCACTAAGGCACTTCCCCCAGTGGTGAAGTCTGAGCCGACGCCGGATGATAGCGAGGAGGATGGATTGGGATTGCTTTAGACGTTCGGTTTGGGTTGATTATTCAGAATGGCGCGATGCGGTGCGGTGCGGTGCGAATCGATGCGAGATGATGAGTATCCGAGAAATGCGACTTGGTGATGCGAGCAATGCGACTTGTGCCGCGGCGAGGATGCGTGGCGCTTTGCCTGCGACTTCTACCAGCAGGCAGGCAAGCAAGGGAGTAGGGGATTGAATGTCTGTACACACTATGGCTTCTTCATGTCAAAAAAGCTTCACTTCATTCGACTATACGCACACATTCTCATCTCTACACTTCTCTCGGAGACGAGGACCGAAGAAGACGAGGCGATTTCTGCTTACTTCTTACAGTGGTGTCCTTCCTTCCCATATGCAACAGTCCAGTCCGGTAGTAGTGGTCATTCGTAGCTCCAACAGCTGCCTGCCCTGTCTTCTCCTCTGACTTATTCTATTTCTTGCGTGTCCAAAGAATTCGACTCCCACCAACGCCAGCGCTTCGGGTGCTTCTTCAATTATGTTGCATTGCCATTTCATGTAGGCCGCAGAGTAGTCCTAGAGCCACCTTGTCGGTGTTGGGCATCATCAGCGCGCCGAGGATTGCATGTCCTTGTGGTATGCCTTCCCACTTGGGATGTGATTTGAGCTCGGCCAAGTCGTCATCATTGTCTATAGGGTCCACGGCGTTGGTAATTCCATTCGTGGTTGCTGAAACGGCACCGTTGGCATTCGCAAATACTTTCTGCGCACTTCCCTTGCCCGCCTTCTCTGCAAGTCGCTTCATCATGGCAAGAGCACGGTGAGTGATGAGCTTGAAAGTCTCGGTGTCCATGCCAAGCTCTCGACCTTTCTGAGCGGCTGCTTGGTTGCGATCGACGGAGAGAAGAGCAGCAAGATTCAGAAGACCAACAGCCCAACCATCTTCAGATTCTATCCAAGATCGAGCCAGATCGGTGTCGTTCCCAGGCGCCAGAGTGGTCAAGATGTCCGCAGCGAGCATGCCTTGAGTCAGATAGGCTTTCCGTGCCTCGACAATACGGAGCTGAGCTGTGTTCCCGATCGAGCCTTTGGATCGGTCCGGTAGCACTGAGATGGAGAGTGCGAATGCTCTGGTCAGTAGATCCAACGAGGACTCAGCTCCAACAGCCGCGGAGCCGTTTGATGTGAAGATGCTCTTGTACAGTGTCCGATTAGGATCTTGCCGTGCAAGGAGCTTCGCAAGGCAGTCTATCGCAGGCGGCAAATACCTATGCAGCAGTGGCGAGAAGCTGGCAAAGCGAATCTTGCCGCCGCTCTCGCTGTAGCTCGGCGCTGGTTGTGGTGCGAAGGCGAGCAGGAAGTGGAGGATGTGCAGGGCGTCGTCTCGTGCGGGAAGCTCCAAGCTCTGCGTTACGTTCGAGAGGAAGATGATGACGTCCTTGAAGAAGTCCTGTGTGTTGTAGTACGTTCGTAAAAACATGTTTCGGGTTCCAAGTAGTCGTATCGTATTACTCAACCACTTGATGAGCGGCGGCGAGGTCAAGAGCCGGTGGTTGAACTCGTAGAAGGAGAAGTTCCGTAACACAGTGGTTATCGCTATCAGCTTGTCGGCAGCTCGATCGAGATCGTATTCGCGGGAGCCAAATTCGGGCACTTCTTGAAGTGTTTCGGCTTCCGCCTTCGCGCCACGCATCACGTCTTCGTAGGGAGGCAGATCCAGCGCATCGCTAACTTCGACGGCATCTTCCGACAGGAGTTCGGCCTGATCCTCGCCACAATCCACCAGCACATCTATAAGATCTTCGCATTGTTCGAGATTCAGCGCAACTCGTTGATCATGCGAGATGATTACGAGGGTATCCAGAGCATACCGCACTTCACCATGGATTCCGGATGCCAGACTCAAAGTGATGGCTTTCGTGTCTATCACTCCCATCTCGTCCACAGTAGGCATGTTTGGCATTGCTCTGGATATTGTCGATCCCAGATCGAACAGTGCTTGTATATCATGTCCACCATCTTGCTCAATTGATCGTACCTGCGGCACGTAATTTGTGCTCTGGGGTTCTTCGCTCTTCATTACAGCACCTGTTTCCTGCGTGACAGATGGCGTTCTTTGCTGCTTCGTGGCGAGAGGCGAGGCAGATGATGGTTGCACTGCGCCGGGCTGCGGCGTTATTTGCTCTGGTTTTCGCACGCTACTATTCCTCCGGTGATGCATTGCCGCTGCTGAATTCATCATCTGCTGGGGAGTTGACATGCCATTCTGCGGCAGAGAGGCATTCGCTTGCACTGGTGTGCCTTGTGTTTGCTGGTGAGTCTGTTGCATCTGCTGGAGTTGTTGCTGGTATTGATTTGCTTGACCTTGCCCGGGCATCATCTTCGGGGGCGATGGTTGCTGTTGCTGCTGAGGATTCGAAAAGCCGGCCATTTGCTGCGCGTGCATTCTCGCTGCTTCTTGTTTCTGCTGCATTTTCATCTGGAACCACATTCGCTCATACTGCGCAATCGCGCTCTGATGAATGTTTTTCAGCTCCTCGGCGGCTGAGGGAAACTGCTGTTGCGGAAAGCCCATCTTAAGAGCCACACTGGGCCATTGGCCATTACGGTCGACTTGCGCCGCTCCTCCAGCGGTAGTAACGATGGTCCAGAGCATGTACAAGTCCACGGGCTTGCTTCCAACCATGGGCGTAGGGTTGAAAGGTCTCCCGCTTTGCGCCGCATGGCCTTGAAGTGTCTTCATAAATTGCGCCCTTTTCGCTTGTGCTTGTTGCATTTGGGCATTTTGCTGCTGACCGCCTGGCATCATCTGGCCAGGCTGTCCTCCCATGGTGCGCGGAGGCACTACGCCTTGTTGCCTCAGCTGGGCCTGATGCGCAAGCAGTTTGGCCTGGTAGGCGCGCTGTGCACTGTTCGCATTGTTGGCCTGCATATTGCCCATACCGTTCATGGCCTGCATCGAGGGCATGCCAGCCATGGACATTGACGGATTCATGGCGTACTGCTGGCCATACTGAGCCATCTGGCCCATCTGGCCTTGTTGCATGGCATTGGGCGTTCCAGGCATGCTGTTGCCGAAATTTTGGCCCGGAAACGGACTCGGCGATGCTGCCATGCGCGGTTGCTGGCTCGGGGGGCGGAACTGCTGGTTCTGCATGGTCGGCGATGGGGTGGCATTGTTCGAGCCGGGCTGCTGCTGGAGATGTTGATAGGGCGTCGGGGCGGCGAAGGTGGTGGTGGTGGTGTTGTTGTTATTGCTGTTGTCGCCGTAGCCGGGTGTCTGCGATCTCGAGTGCGGCGGCGGTGATCCAGACATTCCGGAGCCATCGTGTTGTCGTTTCTGCGGGACGGTGGACTGGAGGTTAAAGGTCTGGGCCTGCTGGCCATTCATGTAGTTGGCCATGATGGCGCCTGGATTGGCGCCCCATTGGTTGTACTGATCCATCGCTGCTAGACATGGTCAGTGGGGGCGCGCATCAGGTGGTGTCACGCAAGCGCCAGGAGGACGGTGGACGAGGACGCGGTCATAGTCGTCGGGCAGGTAGGGCAGGTAGGGCAGGTAGGGCAGGTAGGGCAGGGCAGGCGCGAGGTGCGGTGTCGAAAGCTTAGTTGCTCGGGCCAAACAACACGGCGTGATGGGCGACGCGACTGTTGTCCTCTGGACGTACGTGAAACGGCAGCAGGCGTGCCAGGCTGGCTGGCGCTGGCGCTGGCGCTGGCGATGCGCTCGCGCTGACCTGCGCTGCGGCTGAGCTCGGAGATGACTGCCGCAAAACATACGGGGTTGAGGCAGCGAAGCAATGCTGCAGGCCGAGCCGAGATCGTGTGCCTCACGTGGCCGTGGCAGATGCGATGCGTGTGCGTGTGCGTGTGCGGATGGGGGAGATGGATGGGTGCAGTCACTCACCATTAGCCGGCTCGCCCGATGTCGCCTTTGCGCCTCTCGCCTCTCGTCGCTCGCATGCATGTGGGAGGTGATGGAGGTTCGACTGAGGCGGAACACGAGCGCTAAAGTGCAACCTTCCATCTTGGCTGACTTAATCGGCGGTCCTCGTCGAAAAGGCGGCCATGCGCCGTGAGGAAGCCCAGCGACGCCCCTCACACATACACACACTCAGAGGCAACGGCGAGACGAGCGGAACACGTCCCACACATGCTGGCGCATTCCCGAGCAGAGGAACGAAGCGAAGATGAAGATGGGAGCTATCAATGGCGTCAAAGCACGATCCACTACTTTGGCAAGCAAGTCACGCAACGCATTCAAGGTTGTAGCACACCTCAACCCCGATTCTCATTCGCGCGATACGTGGAACAGCACGCTTCACTTTCGCGTGTGCTCCGTCCCTTTGCTTGGTTGTGAGAAAGGCCTCCGCTACTTCTGGCAGATCCAGCCCACCTGCTCACCACTACCCGAATGCTTAAAGAGACTAACTAGCCTTCCTTGGAGAGTTTCTGTGAAGTTTCGTACACCTCAACTATCGCGGCCAATCATGCTGTCATGATGCTGATCGACGCGAGCTGCAGAGTGGTATGATGTATCGGCATGGAGCCTGTCCTTGACGTGGCCCTGCTTTGCGAAGCCTGGTCTGATAGAGTCGTGCCGTCTGACATGCCTGATTCGGGCCCATACTGAGTCGACAAAACTCTTCCCTTCAACAAGGAAGCTCAAGCCTACTTCTCTGCGCTATCTCACTTGTCGATACCTTGGAGGCTTTCCAAATTCCCCGCAGGCCTCACGCGAATAGGAGAACAACTACCTGGTGGCTTGTCACTTGTGCCTGCCCAGTCTTGGCAAGTCCTTCTTTAGATGGCCCATAAAGCTTCGTGCTGATGTAGCTGTCCAGAAGACCTCCGCTTCTCAGCTTCCTGCAAACTCGACAGAAATCACATTCCCACTCGTTCTGTTCTCCACCATTGCCGTCCAAGAAAAGGCGGTCTCGGTGACCGTGGCTGGTACGGCAAGTTGCGGCAGTGTTTGAGCTGCTACTTCGGGATCGACAGTGCCCTTGACTTGGTCCACCGGTTGTTTTATTAGGAGAGGCGCTTGGCGGCATGCAGAGTCATTGCCGGCACCCAGGCTCCCAGCGTTCTGTTGTGAAGCGTGCGAGCGACGATTCTCCAGTGCATGTGCCTTCCCAGGCTTCCCCGAACTGCTGTTTTTGCCCAGATTGACCACGACTATTGACTTTCGGGAGAGCAGGGTCTACGCCGACCCAAGACGCCATCTCAGTAGTAGATCCATTACGTCGTCCTTCACGCCATCAAACATTGCAAGACTATTAAATCCTTTCATTACTGCGAAAGTTAGCAGTGTTCTAGCAGACCCGCAGAAAATTGCTATCGACGGATCGAGCTATTAGAATTCCCACCGAGAGACTTCACCCAGATTGAGAATCAGGAACACTGTCATCATAGCAGGCTTCATCGCGTACATCCTCTCGGAAAATTCTCCAAGGATGGGGTGGTTCTCTTCATCGAATGCGGGGCAGAACACTCCTCCAGCTCCTGAGGCGTCCAAAGATGGGGGATACATTGCGCCAGATCGAACAGCAAGAGCAGCATGCTGGGAGGGCAGAGATTCATTCTTCCGATGCCTAGACCGACACGACATTATCGACAGTGCGAAGCCAGAGGGCGACAAGAAAGCTAGAGAGCTTTGTTCAAAAGAGTTGGCAGAATTCGAGAAAACTTGCGCAAGCAGTTGGGTGAGTGAGATGCATCCATAGTTGAGCAGAACACAGAGAACTGTTTGGCAGATCTACGGGGAGTCGAGGACGTGAACAGAGACTGACAAGAGATGTGCATAGGTCACGTATTTCAAGAAGCGAAGGGTCATGGAGTATCAGCGAGACCAGACTTTGAAGAAGCTGAATGCTGAAGGCGCGCAGCCAATGCAGATTACTGGAAGATGAGGGGACCAATACAACCATACCAACACTCCACTCACAAGCTACGATATCGCTATCGCTACGCACCAAGCCTCCTCTGCTCGGCCATCGCCGATCTAGTGCTATTAAAGCCTCCTCATCAAAGTCGTGATGTCGAGAGAACGATCAAAGCAGAGATGCATGGTTGCCAGACATGGTGTGCGGAGCAGGCTACTGGTCTAGAATTTTGCCCAGCACATCGGATCAGTGCCGCCCAGTAGAATTATTCTGGGCGTGGTGCTACAGAAGGAAGTTGATCTCGGAGCTTTCCGTTCTTCGAGGCGCTTTGAGAGAAGCTATATGAGCTGCAGCCAGCCACATGAGTCGGCTGGCATTTCGCGGGCCATCAGTTTATATGTAGATAATGTATAGAAATGTACAAAGAGTAGCTCAGCACAAGGACAAGCACATGCATATGATAACAGTATCTGTTCTGCAGCGCTGTACGGATCGTCCTCAGGCACCATTTTTAGGCGCTAGCCGCACAGCCGAAACCTTAAATCACGACCTCAACTTCAACTTACATCTGTAAATTGGTCCACCATCACCACTTCGGCCAGACCGCTCTGAACAGACATCGTCCAGTCTGATATCCTCTTCCGCTGCTCCATGTTGTCACGAAAGCGCAGACCGCTGACTGGAAACACAAGTGGCGGCTGAGCCGTGGAAATGGCTGCGATGGACAACAGCACGACGGAGCAGCGACCATTAGACGGCAATGATGGAGGATCAACACAGAGTACCCCATCACAAAGCAATGTCAGCGAGCCTGTGAAATCTCTGGGTCCTGTATGCGCGTTGTGCGCCAGGCTCAAAATTGCCTGCGATCGCGGCAGGCCTTGCAGTAACTGCGTCAAAAAGCAGTTTGAGTGCTTCTATTGGAATGAGGTAACCAAGCGGCCGGTTTTCAGTTCAAATGAGGCTTCTGGATCCAATCAATACGATGATAACGGCCCCCATCAGACTCTAGCGCGCACAGTTGGACATGGCCAGTATCCAGGACCGAGTCTAAACAGCCCTTCAGGATCGCAGCAACTTCCGGCGATTTTTGCGCCGTATGGCTCTTTCCAAGCAACGCAAGCACCACAGACAGCAACGGCGTTGCCTTCGACAAATCCACTTACCGAAGCTCAGCGAGCTGCCCGCGACTTTCACATGAGCCATGGTGATCCAGGTGCAAACACCACCAGTCTGTCCACCCTTGCAGGGTATTATGCAGATCAAAATGACGGTGGTCCTGGTCGCGATGGCGCACGACTCGCTTGGCGGCATGCCATCACATATAGCGGGGTTCATTCATACGACGATGATTTTGAACCAGACGATATAGAGGGGACAGACAAACTTCTCAGCGAAGCTGGACAAACGAAGACCAGAGGAAGCGGTTCTCGTGGTGGCCGAGGTCGACGCGGTTGGCGGCAGCTCCTCAAGGGAACCGAGCATGAAGATGTCGGCAAGACCCCATCCTCTCGCGGCGTGCCAAACATTCGTCGTGGTCGAGGTGTTCGTGGCGGTCGACGCAGTAAACCCATAGATCCAGGTCACAATTTCAAGATGTTCATGCAGGAGGCGACCAAGGCATTTTTCGACCTTGACTACGAAGCCGCTGCTGATTTCTGTCGACAAGCCATTGCGGTCAATCCTGAGATCTTTGGTGCTCACTCTCTTCTGTCCACTGTTTTGAATGCTCAAGGACGTCGACAGGATTCTATACAGGCTCTTGAGTATGGCGCGGTGACTGTGCGAAGTGCCGAAATCTGGGAAATGCTGGCCGCTAGGATTGTTGATGTTCCACCCGAGCAGCGTACGTATGGTCTTATTCACAAGGCTATCGAATGCTATTCCGAAGCAATCAAGATGACAAGGCCGGAGACCGCTCAATTCGAGCTTCGAGCTAAAAAGTACGAGCTTTACAAGGAGCTGAACGAGTCTAAGGGCTGTCGCATGGACCTGAGAAATATCCTCAGGATTTGGCCGCACAAGACCTACTATATGAGGGAGTATGCACAGCAATGTGCAGCTTGGCATGACAGGAGCGAGCTCAAGGTTGCCTTCGACAAATATGAAGCCGCTTTCGAACAATACAAAAATGAGGAGACCTTTGGCGACGCAGATGACCCAACTGATCCCTGGGAGCATCTGAACACATATCTGGAGTTGGCGGACATGGTTGCGAACCCTTGGACCAGCATTTACAAGGCGAAGCAAATATCCAGATGGCTACTTGGTCGTCAAAATGAGTCTTTCTGGGATAGGTTTAGCGGAGACGATCGTGAATTTGATATCACCAACGAACGACGAGCTTACGTTCCGGAATGGCAGATGGGCAAGGCCAGTGGCGACAGTACGGAATATGGTGAGGGTCTGCCGATCGAGATCCGAGTTCGGCTGGGCATGTTTCGCCTCAAGATGGGTCTCGCACATCATGAGGAAGCACTGAGGCATTTTAGGCCACTACTTGAATTGGAAGAAAACATTGGCGATTTCTGGGAGGTATTCGTCCAGGTTGCGCAGGCTCTTCGAGGTGCCGGCTTCTTGAAAGAGGCTGCTGAATTCTACGATCCACTTCGAAATTGGCCAGACGCCGTGAGCAAGATCTACGGGCTAGATGAAAAGACATGGATGGCATTGGCAACATGCTATCATGCACTACGGAGAAATGATGATGCCATTATTTGCTACGAAGTGGTCCAAGGTCGTCAGGAAGACAACTATGATCGAGCCAGTGCAGCGCTGGCAAAGCTGTACGAGGATAAAGGTGAGCTCGACAAGGCTCGCTACATCTGCGACGAATTCATCAATAGAGGTCGGCACGACCTTCTCATAGATTCAGGCGTGCAGATGGTGCCAGAGCATGTCAGAAATATGCCCGCGAGGATACCTCTCCCTCCGCATATACCGTCAGGGAAGGTCACCCCTGGCATCAAGCCTCGCATTGAAAGAGCTCCGCCAAGACCACTAATGCCTGTTGGTGCCGACCCTGGCCAAACTCCACTACTCTTGCCGGCTCCCTCAAATGGCACTCCGCGCAAGTCAGGTCCCCAAAAGGCTAAGACGGAAGCGAAGAAACAACTAGGGCCAACATCAAAGGAGGTCGAACTGCTTGCGGAACCAAAATCAAAAGTGCGAGCGGGCCGAGAGAGGAAGAAGAGGAAGAGAGATGAAATGAATATCTTGGAGGCAATTTGTGGACCAGTGGCAGACTCCGAGCTGGTTGAAGAGATCGACCAGGTCAAGCGACCAAGATTGACGAAGAGGCCAAAGGCTCCTTCGAAAGCTGAAGCCAAAGCGAAGGCCAGACAAGAGCAAATCAACGACAGCCAGGCACGAGTGCAGGCTTTCTATGCTACAGTCAAACTTCTATGGCCCCGTGCAAAGGACGGAAAGGATGAAAGCGTCGTCGAACAGTGGATTGACGCAGCCCTGGGCATGCTCGGCGACTTTGCCGCGCAGAAAGTCTTCTTTCCATATCGGGATAAAGGCGTGAACGTCAGGGTCTCGGACAAGACAGAAACCAGGCTGGTAGCTGACACGAAGAGTAGTGGTTCAGCCAGGGAATATCTCGGCATACCGTTTCCTGAATGGCACCGCGTCTTCGTCGATCTCGCGCTCTTCTACGCTCGGAATGCGGAGCAAGACAAATGCTATCGGATTCTGCAGGATGTCTTATTCGCGGCAAATGTGTTTTGTCTGAACAGGAAGCTGAAGTGGACACAGAATGCTGCAGCCATCTATTGTGGCCAGGTGTTCAACGACAGCCAATACCTCATCGAGCTCACTCGAGACATCATCAAAGACGGCCAATGCCGCAGTGGCGAATCATACCAGCTATTCGCGGCCCTCAACCGCTTTTCGTTTGGCAGCAACTGGTTCAGCGCTGGTCCTACGCAGAAATTCATGCTGCGACAAGTCAAAGCCCTCGACTTCTTGGCTATGAGCCCGGAAATGCGGAAAGGCTTTGACTGGTCAGCACAGGCACCCACGCTAGAGAAGAGGAGTGGAGAGCCCACTGACGATAATTCGGAGCTAAATGCTGGAGTCTTGTTGACGTATGGCCACATGGTCGCTGTGGCCAACCACTCCTTCAGCGCTTTGCCATACTACTATCGAGCTCTCGCGATACAACCAGAGAACATCTGCGTCAATCTCAGCATTGCGGCAATGTGGATCCAGAACTCGATGAAGCGACAAGTTTCAAATCGGCAATTTGGCATTACTCAAGGGTTGTCGTTCCTGTACCGATACTATGACCTGCGTGTCGCGAGTGGTAAAGTCTGCCATCTACAGGAGGCAGAGTACAATACAGCTCGTATGTGGCATTACCTTGGCTTGACTCACCTCGCCATGCCTGCTTACGAGAATGTGCTGGGCCTAAGTGAGCAGGTGCAGGAAGAGGCGAGACGAGATAGGGCAACTGGTGATGGAGAAGCCGACGGCCGTCTCGTGCTTGGGGATGACGGCTCCGTAGCTGAAGGCCGTGATATTGAAGACTTTGCTCAAGAGGCTGCATATGCCCTTCAAGGCTTGTATGCCCTGGTCGGCAACGACGAAGCCGCACGAGCCGTCACTGAGGACTGGTTGGTCATTTGATTTAGGCGGACGACATTGTGATTTTGAAGATACCCGCATGGTCAATACGCATAACATTACAAAGCAAAAGCTCATCTCCTCTACCCTTCCACTTTCTGATCAACCACACTCTTACACCGCATACTCCACTCTCCCTCCTGCACACTCAAACTCTCATTAATACACCGACTCCCGCCTGCAATCGCCCCCAATTTCGGCAAAAGTTCCTTCCCATCACCTTGACACCTCAAGCCCACAAAAATTTCACACGTCGCATTCGCTCGCAAATATTGCGATTTGGGCGTCGTGAAGGTGCCTTGTTCAGTGGGCTCTATATATCCCAACGCGTCTAGGAATACGATTTCGATTTCTGAGGTTGACGGGATTTGGTTGAGGACGATACAGGAGTTTTCTTCTGGGGAGTTGAGAGGCGTTTCTTCCGTTAGGTTGGTCCAGATTGAGTACTGGAGATGAGGAGGGTTAGGGGATGTGGATTGCACGAGGGATAGATGTGCGTGGAAGGTCTGAGTGAAGAGAGAGAGAGAGACGTACGTATGCTGCTTCCTGAATTCGGGCGCCGCAGTCGGGATCTGAATAGGCTGTGTAACGCCAGGCCGAGACTGTCGCGATGAGGGCGAAGAGCTCGGCGCGGATGTAAGGCATTTTTACCGTACAAGTGAAGTGACTGGTATACGGCAGGGATATGAGATTGAGGTCTTCTTCATGACATGATCGATAGAGTTTGCAGGGAAAGAGGCTGATTCCGTGCGCAACTTCTTCTCCTATCATCAGGACGCCATGCAACACAAGGTCGAGCCTCAAGCGTGGCCGGTAGTGGAAAAGGAGGCATTTGTGCGTCGGTATGCGATGCGATACAATAATACGTACTTCCTTCCATCGGCCTTGATCGAGTCCTGACCACAGCAGACGATAGGCCAACGATTCAACCCGATACAAAAGACCCGGCTACGACAATGGTCTGCGAGAAATGTCACGTATGGACCAAATACCCAAACATTGGCGAGTGGATGGATTCTGCGCCGAAAGAGATCAACTGACAGCAGCTCATCGAAGGCATACTTTTACACATATACATTACGGATACGCTACTGGTCTCATTTGAACGCCGGGAATTGTCAGCGGCACTGTGTGAAGTACATTCCACCGCGTCTACCCACAATAACATTCACAAAGATCGACAACATTGACACTGCAACCAGACACGCAGAATGTTGAGCAGATTGGCTAGAGGCGAGGGAACGAGGTTCCGTCTCTACGGGGTATGCCACATTCCACAATCTTCGCAGCCATGGCCCCGGTTGCAGCATATCAATCACCACTTGAAAGCCTTATATCGGGCATAGACTGCTCCTGGGTTGTCAATCCTACATTGCAGTCCGTTCCTTTGATCGAAGCCTGTCGTTACAATTGTGTTGTCCAACCTGCCTTCCGAATCGCCCGTTTCATCCACAAATCGAGTCGCGCAAACATGAGAGCTACTCTCGCTATCCTCGGCCTGATCGGTGCCACGAGCGCTACTCCTTTGAGAAAGCGTCAATCTCTCAAGGACTTCAACGATTGTGAGTACATCTGATGAGGATATGGGAAGTCTTCACTTGACTGACTAGTGATTTAGTCGATGTTCTGAACTACGCTCTCACCTTGGAGCACCTCGAAGACAAATTCTACCGCGAAGGATTGGCGAACTTCACCGAAGCTCAGTTCGCTGCAGCCGGCTACGACCGCACTTTCTACTCCAACCTCGTCGAAGTCAGCGCAGACGAAACTGCTCACGTCAAACTCCTCAGTGACGCCATCACCGCAGCTGGAGGCACGCCCGTGAAGGAGTGCACCTACGCTTTTGGAGTTACCTCCCCTGCCGGGTTCGTCGGGCTCGCCAGCGTCCTCGAAGGAGTCGGCGCCTCAGCCTACACTGGTGCGGCCTCTCAAATCGCCAACAAAGATTACCTCACCGTCGCCGCCAGCATTCTATCCATCGAGGCCCGTCACAGCTCCTACATCCGCTCTTCGCTCGCACAAGTACCATTCCCACAGTCACTCGAGAACCCACTGACTCCAAACGAAGTCTTCACCCTTGCATCTCCTTTCATCGTCTCTTGCCCATCGACCAACGGAGCTCTGCCAATCAGGGCTTACCCTGCCCTGGCTCTCACTACGACTGGCACGATCAGTACCGGACAAACAGTCTCCATCTCGAGCAGCCCGAACGTTTTGGCTCCAGCTAATGATAAGGCACACATCTATGCTGCTTTCATCACCGCTGGTGGACCTGTGTTCGCTAACATGACGGCTGCGGGAAATGGGTATGAGTTTGGAGTCACGATCCCAGAAGGTGTTTATGGTCAAAGCTATCTTATTTTCAACAACTGCAACGATACCGTTACCGATACGACGATCATTGCTGGTCCAGCTTTGCTTGAGGTATGTAAATCCTTCTTTCTGACAACGTCTACACAATGGCTGACTTGGGAAATTTAGATCGCTTCACCTTCTTCGACTTGATTCTTTTTTTTTTCCACAAGTTAGTCGTGTATTGAATTAAGGCGTTTAGTTGTACTTCATGTTTTTGATACCCTGGGGAATTGGAACAGCTCTTGCAGAGATCTGAAATGTGACATCAAGTTATCTTCCCGCCGCACACGCGTCGGTTTCCCAAGGCGGAACACCCGTCAGGCTAAACGACACGAAATGTGTCCCATGATGATGGAGTTTGTGGCACTCTTTGAGGATGCACGAAGATATGCTGCTGCTAGACATCTGGTGAAACTACGGCTCTTGAGTAGCTTAGGCAATGAAGTTGGGGAGAATATCATAGGGCGTTGGACTGAATTCTCTGGTCTGCTACTGCCCCTGATAAAGGACAAGCTTTAGGCACTCAGAGGTCAGCCTTCAAGCCTACTTCCACCCTCTGATACTCTGATTCCGGCTTGCCTTCATCCCAGTATCGATGATCGTACTCGTCAATGCGAGTAATCTTGCCCTCGTCATCAATCTTCAGGAAGAAGCCCACATGATTCGCAAAGGCTCTCCCACTGCCTTTCATGACCATCTTTCCATCTGGACGGACTATATCATTCTTGCATGTCCCAACCCAGAGTTGCTGAACAGCTGCGCCTGTGGCTGTCACTTCAAGACTCTATCCTACCATCAGCAACGACACCGACCAGTGCTGCAACAAGTAGACTGACCTTGATCTCCGCCTGGAATGGCCGGTTGCAATGCAGAAAGCTTTTGTGCAGCCCCAGAATCGCCTTGTGTCCCACCCTCACCACATGAAACCCATGGTCATACCATTCAACCTTTGGATCGAGGCATGAAAGTAGGATCTCGGGCGTGTTCTTGTCATCGAATGGCATGAAGCTCTGGGTCCAGCGACTCACAACTTCTGTGACTTGAGCTATTCTCTCGTCACTGATCGTGATCGGCATGGTGACTGTGATGGAGGCTTCTCGAGAAGGGATGAGATTGATTGAGGGCACGGCGAAGGCTCGCAAGGAGTGATGAGTGCAAGAATTCGTTTGTGGCCTACACACTTAGTAATCCGCTGGATCAACAGCTCTTGTACTTGCAGAAGAGCCGAGCGATGAATGATCAATAAATGCTGACAGCCTCGGCAGCAATACAATACTAGAGCTGAACTATGCTTGGTTGTTGCCAGACTGGGCGAACTCCAGCTCGCAGTAGGGCACAGCTGAAGCAGGAACCCACTTTCACGTTTTGTGGCGTTTCTTGAATCCAACGCTTCAACGCTAGCTGTTACGTGAGAAATGCGCCCAAACAGCAGAGACGAGAAAGGCTGATCGAGCGCCGCATGGAAGATAATTCCTACCTCCATTTAGGCGCTTCGTGTATTCCAATGTGTATGTGCCGATCCGATTTCCGATGCACGTGAGCTCCATATTAGGTTTAGCGTCGAGGTCTCCGTCTTGGCGAAGCGCCTAAAGCTAAACCGCTCGGGTTAGGTAAGGCTGCAGATAACTACACTATTACTAAGATAAAGTCGCATATATAGCTTAATAACTACTATAGATAGTGTTTGTATTATATAAGCTTAGTTCTAGATATTACGGTAAACAAAAACATCGCGCATTTTAATTATATTATCCCTTTATAATTATAAAAGTTATAAGCGGAAAACATAAATTGCTCTCTATAGATAAGTCGTTTATCTAGCCTCTAGCTTTATATAAAAATAAATACATGCCCCTACGTAACGCGAGCGTACGAGCCCCCTATCTTTGCGATACGCTCTCTAACCTCTACTTCTTCGTTTATTATTAAACTAAGGTATTCCTACCTTCTAGTAATATAATATCTAATCTACCGCTAATCTATCTAATCTACTACCGACCTATCTAATCTACTACCGACCTATCTAATCTACTACCGACCTATCTAATCTACTACCGACCTATCTAATCTACTAAGAACACCGACTCGAGTTTAATATATAATCTGCTACTAGCTAGTCGAAGAAGCAGCGGCGCAAGCAGCGTATAAAGGAAAAAGAGGCGCGCTAGAAGTAGAATTAACTCGCTCGTTAAGAACTAAACTAGGCGCTATTGCTAGGACGCTCTATAGTAACTCGAGAGGCTCTAGACTTCGGTATTACCCTAATTAAGCTACTAGATCTGCGTACCGACTATCTAAGACATTTCCGCCGCAGAGTTAATAAGATATTAGCCGATTCGCTAGCCCGTATCTAGGAGTTAGTTTAGTATGCTAGTTAATACCCCGAGGCGGTCTAGTTCTAGAAGGAAATTATCGAGAAAGGCCTAATTAAAGTCCTTAATCTGCTATACCTAGGAGAATAATACAAGCCTATACTATCTTAGCTTACTACTCTGTACGCCTTAATCTATAGCTTAAACGACGTCGTACTTATCGCCCGGACCGGAGAAGGGAAGAGCTTACTATATTAGAGCTTTATATTACTAACTAGTTTGGTTACTATCTAAATCGTCCCTCTTAATCGTTTAGGTACTAAACAAGCAGCCGCTATCGAGAGAATGTCTCGCGATACGTATAGTTTGATTCGTTTAGTCTATATCTCTACCGAGACTAAGAAAATCGATCTAGGCATATTCTAGAACATCCTTAATAGAAAGATTTAGCACATTCTCCTTAGTCTAGAGCAGGCGGCATTACTATAGTTCTACGTATTAATAAACGATCTACGTGTCCGCGAGCGTATTAGATTAATCGTTATTAATAAATGCTACTTAGTTTATAAATAGGGAGAGGACTTTCGGAAGGAGTATACTTAGCTCTATTAAATACGAGAGCATCTGCGTAATAATATAGCTATACTATATACTTCGGCGACTATGAACTAGGAAACTACCGACTACGTTATTAAGCATACTAGCTTACGTACGGTCGGCCCTAATCCTTTCTAAACTAAGATAATTCGTAGTAGTATCGATCGTCCGGAAGTTATATATATCTTTAGGTTTATCCCTAAGAATTACCTCGGTAACTATAATATGCTATATTGCGTAATCGAGTATATAGTATCTGTCTCCGCTAAAGACTAAGAGAACAAGGTATTTACTAATAGCATAGCTACGCTATAGAAGATTCGGAAGGCCTTAGTATTTATCGATAGGTGCAAATATATCTCTAAATTCGTCGATATTGCTCGTTCTTAGTTAATTTATCTAACTAAGGACAACCCGGATCCGACTAAGAGGTATACCTATAGTCTAAGCGAGGGCTTCGATGTAATCCGCATTATCTCTTTCTATACCGCCTTTGTTCCTAAGGCTAACTAGGACGATCGATACGAAGAGTACTATAAGCTAAACTCTACTATCCGCATTATAGCTGCGACTACTACATTTAGTGTCGGTCTTAATGTTCTAGATATCGCCGATATCTACTAGTAGAAGTTTAATATTACTCGTAACCCTAGCGATATACAATAGCGGCTTAGTCGTAGTACGTGTACGATTTAGCGGATTAGGGCTAGTTTAAAGAACCGTACTTCTACCGCCCTCGATGCTTTCTCTTCGTACTATACTACGCCGATAACTCCTTTAAGCGGATGCCGGATAGCACTAGTATGCCTTCTGTTCTTCCTATATTAATACCGGTACGTAGAGGTAGTATAGGTAGAGGTCGCGGCCGTCGTAGTCGTACCGCTCCTAGTCTAAGCAGATTGCGACAAGAGTTACCTAGCGAGGATGCTAGCGGCACTAGCGACTAAGAGCTAGATAGGCAAAGCGACGCTAATACTAATGCTAGCGGTAATAATATATAAGCAGGCTCGTCTCGCAGCTATAAAGGCAAAGGCAAAGCGAATAAGGTTAAATTCTAGAACTATAGTAAGCTCGAGGCTTGTAAGAAGATCCCGTATATATTCTTAGGTGCGCTAAATAATTACTATAAGATTCCTAGTCGCTGTTACCGCGTTGTAATAAACGAAGAGTATAGCGAGCATCTAGCTATCTTCCTATATCTATTAGGTCTAGTAGCTGACAAGGATTGTTACAACTAGTACAATCTAAGCCTAATAGCCGAATTGCTAATGCCTCCTATTAGGCGCGTTAAGCCAATAAACCTACTAGGTAATAGCACAAGACCTAGATACGCCCTAGCATATATTAAGAAGTAGTATTCTAGCAAGGTCGACATTTTATTCCTACGTAAGAACTAACTCTTCCGCGTACCGGGTACTCTATTTATAGAAGAGAGGCTAATATAGTCTATATCGGAAGTCTTTCTACTTACGCGATTAATAGAGGCGTAGGAGATTATCGAATTTAATAAAGACAAGTTAATAAAGACAGCACTAGGGTTAAATAATTAGGCGTAGAAAGCTTATATCGATAAGCTATATATCGCACTAGTCGATATAGCCGAAAAGGTGTACGCCGAATAGGAGGCTGCTAAGGCTATAAAGCAGGCAAAGCGGGCAAAGCAGAATGCTCTAGATAATGCCGACATTAAAGCTGCCGGTACTAGAGAGATTCAAGCCTAGAGGCTAGTGCAGATTACTCCTAAATAGTAATTATAAGGTCGTAAGGACTTGTTAAACTCGCTAAGAAGATCCGCTTATATAAATACTATTCGATAGAACGCTATAAATAGACAGGCTCGTAGCGTCGATCTAGCCCCTACTCCTACTTCTACTACTCTATCGGCTAGCGCCTCTGTTACGACTAAATCGGCTCTTCTAACTAGTTTAGCTTCGCGGCCTAAGCGTACTGTCTAGGTAGGCGGCTTAAGCAAGAGGCCGCGTCGTAGTGCGAACATAGAATAGGCGTTATTATCCGCGGTTGCCGGAGATACTACTATTGCTAACGACGAGGGAACTATTACCGCCGAGCAGGCCTAAGAATAGCTAAACCAAGCGTATACGAGTCGCAGTAGTCGCAATGTCCGAGTAACTAAGAGGGCAGAAGGCGTGTATAGCGAGGGAGCCTACGAGAGGAGCTATAGTAGAGCTAGCAGCCGCGGCAGTAATCTTAGTAACAATATCCTATCGAACTACCTACTAGGTAGATAGTAGATGTTGTCGTAAGAAGGTTATCGTCGTAGGGAAGAAGTCGGTCTATCTATAGCTATAGATAGTAGCCGATCGTATCTAATATAAGTCTTATATACTCCCTAAATCCTTCTATCTCCTAGCTCTTTCTCGTACTATATTACTATCGCTATATTGTTATTATAGGAAGCGTAAAGCCTTTGCTATTATTTCGAGAAGTCGCGACGCCTATCGGGCGTTGTTCCCGCTAATCGGCAGCTTTACTATAGTAAATCCGGGGCTTAGCGGGACTCGGTCCTTCTTCAAATCGACTTTACGCTTCTTATAATAATATAACTAACCTATACGATTAGGCCTATTTCTGCGGAATACATTAGCAAAAGCGATTAATACGAGAGCGGCGATTACTAAGGACGCAACGAGGTTTAGAAAGCGATATAAATGCGACATTGCGATATAAATGCGACATTGCGATATAAATACGATATTACGACATTGCGATACGCCTAAATAGGACTTATAGGAGACTAAAGAAGCGTTTGAAGATATAGCCGAGTTGCTAGCGGAATACTAGACCGCTAAGGGCAGCGAGAAGAAGGGCAACCTAGCCGCCGCCGGTACGGATAGATACGGCTACTACCGGCTTCTAATATTACCTAGTATTGCTATTATCGCCTATCGTTACTAACCTAACGCGTTTCCTACTATCTATTCGCTAAGGCTCGCTAAGGCAGCGCGCCCTATAGTGCCCTATCTACTGTCTATGCCTTCTTTAAGCAAAAATATATAGCTAGCGTATATAATACCGACTAAGGCAAAAAAGAAAAAGAAGAACGAGCTAGAGCAAAAAACTATAGACAGGCAATACCCGGAGTCACTCTAGCGGACACGATATAGCCCTCGAGCTTATAACCCTTTAAGATACGTTACGAATCGACTAAGCAAATATACCTACTAGACTTCGACCTTATACGCTTCCGAAGAAGCGCCGCTATAGAAAACCTGCCTAGGCGGACTGATTTTTTTAGTTAGACAATAGGCAGTCCCCTCCGCTGGTTTATTAGGCTGCTAGCTGCCTTAGAAAAGACTAATTAAATAGCCCGAGCCCCTCGTTCGGCGCAATAACAATACGACAAGATGCTGCAATATCTATATATCTAGTTATAGCTAGGCGGCGACTATTATTAGTTAGAGGGTGTAAATTATAGTAGTATAATATAGCCTTATTGTTGCTGCCTATAGTAATAGCGCAGTTAGAAGAAAGGCGTAAAAGCAGGTAGTAGGCAGGGAGGTAAGGTTTAGACACTATAGGGTAGTTAATAGTTCAATTCCCTAACAGTTAGTAACTAGAAGTAATATTATTAATATTAAGTCAGTCTTAATAATAACAGTATACCTATTAAGCGCCGCCTATCTATCTCGTACTGTCCGAAGCTATCTATCTAAGCTAAGTCGATTAAGCGCATTTCTAGCAAGCTACGCTAGCAAAGGTATCTAATACGATAACGACGGCGGCCCTAGGTAACTAATTAGTCTTAGTTAAGCCGCCTCTTAGTTAAGCTACCTCTTAGTTAAGCCGCCTCTTAGTTAAGCCGCCTCTTAGTTAAGCCGCCTCTTAGTTAAGCCGCCTCTTAGTTAAGCCGCCTCTTAGTTAAGCCGCCTCTTAGTTAAGCTCGTTAAGATAGGTAGTTGTTTGCGCCTCTTACGCCTCTCTATCTTCGCCCTCTTCTAACTATCTAGTACGACGATCGACGGCACTAGAAACCGGACTCGCAGGTCGATTAGAAGTTACTACTACCCTCTATACTACGGCTTCCTATACTGCCTATAAGATCTGCATTAGCATTGTTGCTAGTTAGGTCTTAAACTTCGATATCCTCGAATAGCTAAGCTATACTATCCGCTATCTACGCCTATATATTATTATACTCGTTAAGGACAGCATCCTGTGCTATACTATAATTAAGGCCTTATAGACGGTCGGCGGTATTAGGGCTATCTATCGGATCGGCTTCTAGTACTATAGTAAAGCCGCGGGTATAGCGTTAGTTAGCAGTATTAAACGTATCGACTATAGACTAGATAGACTCTATACCGAGTTGCTAGATATCGTCGGATAGGGCAAAGTCTCCGTACTACTACTTTGCGAACCTATCGATACGGATCTTATTAGCCCGATTAAATACGCTTATACTAATATCCTTCTTAGTACGGTAGCTAGTACGCTTAATACTAGAGCTCTCCTTAAATATATTCTTAATTAGCCGAGATAACTCCCTATTTATCGCGACCTTCTCGAATACCTAGGCAAGCTAATAAGTAGAGTTGCTAAGCTGCTTATAATCCTAAGAGTAGTCCGCATTATATAGCTTAATCTGCTTATTAGCTACGACGGCGTAGCCCTTCTTGCTAGACGGATTAATATAGGTAGTAGAGAGGATAGCCTTCTAGAGCTCTATAGTACTGCCCTCGTTTAACAGCTAATATATATATACTATAAGCCGGCTATAGTTGTACTGTCTAGCGCTAAGGAACCCTAGGATTATATAGTCGACGATACGGCGGAGATAACTAACGTCTTCTATACGGATAGCCTAGCGGATACGGAAGAAGATAGATATTTCCTTTAGCAATCTGCATATTAATATAAAGGCAGCATCCGGGCGACTCGGTAGACCGGCGGGCGCTATAGCACTAGCGGGCGAGTCTGTACTACTAGCGGGCGAGTCTATACCCTCCTACGCTTCCGGACTAAACACTAACTAGCGAATCTTACGTACAATCTCGAGGTACTCGGTAGTAGGGAGCTTATCTTCGATAGCCTATTTTATAACCTCTATACGAGTAAGATTGCCCTAGTCTGCTATATCGCTAGTAATGTATCTACGGGTAACTAGAATATCTAAGAAGATAGCGACAATGCGGGCGTTAAAGCTACGCTTTAAAAGACTCTACTAGCGGAAGAACTTCCTACTCTTCGGATCGACCTCCTTTATGCCCTAGAAATCAACATCTAACTATAATAAGTAGTTAAGCTTCTTACTAGCCTTATTCTTACTCTAATAAGTACGGAAAGGTTGTAGAGCCTAGTTTATAAAGATATAGAAGAAAGCCGGGACTAGGAGTATAAAGTCTTTCTTATCGTATATAGCTTAGTTCTTAACGCTTGCAAATATTATATAGATTATACGTTCTATAGTAAGCTAATCGCTAGTGTTAATAACAAGTCGATTACTAAATAGTAGGTTATTACGCTTAAAGCCTATATTGTCGAGGTATAGGTTATCGTAGACTAGGAGAGTACCCTTATTCGAGACCTTATCGTTCTAGGAGGGTAGCATCGATAGGATAGGAGTCCTGCCCTTAAAGCTACATTTAATCTCTAGAAATGCTAGTCGATTAATTAGGTTCTCTTCCTTATCTACTACGTTCCGGAATTTCCGCTTAAGCTTATTACTAAAGACATAAGCGATAGCCTAATCAATCTAGAATAGCTCGATATCTTCTATAGCATCGTCTTTATCGATATTATTAACGATATTCTCAACCTTAACTAGCTTTAAGCGGTCTAGTATGTCCTTAGTTAGGCTGCCTTCTAGAATGTTATTATATAGAGCGATATACGAGTTAGTAATATTAACTTGCTCGTTGTTGTCTGCAATGTCCTATAGATTTGTTATAAGGTTAGCAAATAGGGATCTCCTTATCGACGTCTCGGAAGCTAGATCTAACTTACCGGCTTACGACGCTTCGCCTAGCGGTTAAAGTTGTCGTATGCAATCTAAAAGCGTAGGTTTTGAGCCTATAGCTTAACCTCTAATCTCTAGTAATTGGCGTTCTTCTTTATAAGCCTCTAGATAGTCTTATACGAAGGCACTAATCCTATATTATTAAGGCTATCGATAATATATCCCGGCAAATTGCCTATAGACACTAATAACAAACTAAGGGCCTTTAGCATAAAAGATAAGCGCTTTGTAGCTATCGAGTATACTACTATATACGTAATCGTACAGATACGCTTCTAAATTATATTACGCTTATCCTTAAAGGACATTGCGTATTACTTATAGTCCCTACGGGTATTTAGAAGAATCTAGGTCTTAAGGAAGCTATACTAGGTTAGTGCGGCATTACGAATTACCTAATGCATGTCTATAAGGCTTCGTAGCGTTATACTTTCTTCTAGTCGATACTCGTCGAAGAATCGACGACCGATTAAGCTCTTTAGTTCGTCGCGCATCTCTCCTAGGCTAATAAGAGTCTCCGAAGGGAAGAGGCCTTAGATAACCTTTATACGGTTCTAGTAGGTCTTCGTACCCTTATTACTAGCCTATATAAAGATTACCTTCTTAAGTAGTAAGGTTAGACTCCTATAGAGATTTATAATAGTAGTATACTTCTCTTTTAGAGTTATACGTTAGCTACGCTAGCGGATGTTAGGGATAGCAATAGTAGTCTCTTTATCTTCTAAATCCTCTTTATCTATCTCTTAACAAGCTCGATTACTAGGCCGCTAGACTAGTTCTTCCTCTTCTAGTTCTTCCTTTTCTAGTTCTTCCTTTTCTAGTTCTTCCTCTTCTAGTCGATCCTTATCGCTCTTATTCTCGTCCTTATTAGTAGTTTAATTATTATTATTATTACTAGGACTGCTAGCTATATAGTTAACGGCCTTTCTAGCCCGAAGGGTTAGACGATTAGCGGCAGATATAGATAGACCGGCGGACGTAGGTAGAGTAGATAGCGGACTACCGCGGACGCTAATATCGGATTATAATTGCGGCTCTCTACCCTACTTATATTAGTCTAGCGCCTCGGAGTTATAGTAGTTGCTATAATATATACGCTAGCGCTGCCGATCTTCGAGGCCTAGCTAATTAGAATCGTTCTATTCTAGAAGTCTAGTCTACGTAGGATCGTCTTATAGAAGATCTATTTCTATCTCTTCGCTAGTAGTAAAGTCGAGGTTAGATAGAGGCTCTAATAGGCTAGACGACGATGCTATGTTTGCCTATGCCTATAACTAAGTAGCGACTAGACGACGATTAAGCTCTAATATTGTTAGGAAATCGTTAGACGATATAGTAGTATACTAGCTAGAAGTGCTATCTAGAAGTATTAGCTCGACTAGCGTTTAGAATAGGGGTATTTCTCGATAGAACAAGGCTATAGACTGTTACTTCTAATATAAAAGATGTTCGAAAATACTAAGCCTTAGAGCTAGTAGCGGTTTAGCGGGTATTCGGAGTAATAAGTTTAGTAACTTCTAGCTACCGGTAACTAGCGTTAGCGAAGTAACGAGAACTTAATACTACTACCTCGTAGAGACTTAGGTACCGCAAAGAAGTTAAAGATAATTACCTTACGAAGGGCCTCGAGGTAATCGTTGCTAATTCTAGGATATCGAATTTAGTAGTATAGCGAGCGGTCGTCGATAGGGTAATAAGAGATAGGGAAGGAGAGGTCGTACGGCAATGCCTTTACTAAAGAAGTTGTTCGAATAGGTCGCCTCTCGGACCTCCGAGTATTAGTAAGTCGATAGCTTAAGGTACGTTATTTAGTATATATTAGCGGTTAGATAGCTATATTAAGCTACGCGGAGTAGCTTTGCGAGATTTAGTATAACTTAACGCGTATACGTCGTACGAGCTTTATTTTTAGTGCGTTTAAGAGCGCATTATACGCGCTACAATCGCCTTACGCAAAGTATCTCTAAATACGTAGTATTGCAAATATCGTGTTTAGATAACTATAGCCGTACTAGATAGCAGCGGTTTAGCTTTAGACCTCTAGGCGAAGAATTATTAGGAGTGCTGTTTAATTGGCTATTCGGATGCTAAGCTAGACCCAAAACGAACCCGATCACGAGACTCGATGACGTATACGCAATTCGGGTGCAATTCTTCATCCTAGAGGTCTGAATGGAGATAGGATAATTCAACCTCATAACCGCTGACTTGTGGCCAAGGTGTTCTGCATTCATCACCTGGGCCTCGGACTCTTCACCTCATCAAAGCTGAACGAGGCACAGTCATTAGGGCGACCACTACAGCTTCCCGAACGGCAAATAGAACGTATCGGATGGACCTTCCATAGAGTCGCATCAATGACTGATCTCGACCCGTATCATATGGACGTCTTGATCAAGCTGTAGGACGATGCTCTTTTCCACACGAGAAGTTCGCACAATGTAAATTCGTGCGCGAATGTAAAGACCTCTTACCGAAGGCAATCGACACTGATCCAAGTCTAATGCTGTCCTTGCTGCATTCGAAGCCGAAGATAAGGCTGAGGATCAAAATCTACGACAGCTTTATCGACCTCTACATCTTCGGCGACCGTTTCGACATCATGAGTGAGCTCCAAGCCCATTCCATCTTCCTGAACTCACGCTACACCCAAACACTGGCTAGTCTCAGCCCCAGTTCGAGAGTATTATGAAAACATACGAGACTCTAAGAGAAGCGATGCCAATGCTTGAGAGCCAACGCCACAGATAAGCAGAAGCAGCGCTTGACTTGAATCGTGTTTGAAGCAGAGTCGATGCAACCAGCACACCGCTGGCGTCTGCAACTTCTGAGACAGTCGCCGAGAGCCTCAAGGAGATGGACATGACTTGGAAGTCAACGCACGCCGTTTTACGACAAGTGAGCCAAAACGTGCGACGCAGGAACCAGGTCCGTTGGCGCCATCCGGATCTTGCTACCGTTCTCGCGGACAGCGATTCCCGGTTACCCATCGTGGTTGAAGCGGTGCCATTTTGCGTTCGTCGGAGATCTTGAAACGATCGAATCTGTGGGTTCGCGAGGAAAGTCTAAGAGGGCTTTTTGACTCAAGAATTGCAACATCAGCGTAGCATATGCCAGAGCGATATCATGGCAACTAACTATGCGGCTCGCTCGCAATTTGAAGCTCTTTCTCACTTACTCGTAATTCAAGCGAGGATGTCGAAGAATCCGGTGCTTGAGATATACCACAGGACGGCCATCATGCTAGATAGGATACCGCGGTGGCTGCCGCGTGATAGTTTGGTGATGCGTTCGACATATCACAGGTGGAAAACAGCCGGCCGGTGCAAGAGTCGATCGAATGCCTGTGAGCGATAGCGTCGGGCCCGAACGTCTTCTTTTGGTGGCAGCGCTCTTACAAGGGCGGGTAGTCGGCTGAGCTCGGCGCTGAGAAGCTCCAGTAGTGAGGCAGAGCTGATTTGTCTTGACGTATCGATGTTCCTCATGTAGACGGTCTTGGGATCATAGTTTCCGAAAGACACCAGCAGCATCGGATATTGCTGATATTTGAACGGAGTCGACCTGATATCATTCCAAGGCATACTCCCATAACAAGACCAAGCAGGACATAAGTGCATCTAACTTTCGCTTCCGGCTCTCACCACGCTCCATGTAGAATAGCTGACAGAGCTGTCCGGAAGTTTGAGGTTGTGAAGCCTACCGAGACGTTCTCATCGCAAACGGTGACAGAAGACGCCGGCCAGATGCTGTGCCGTCGCCCGATGTGCTGGAGAAGGTCGGTGGCATACCCGACCAGACCAGCGCACACGCTACGCTACAACGGACAGCCGTCACACCCAGGTTCCCGGATGTCTGGTCTGTAGTGGAATCCTTCCGTGCTGTCATTCATAGTCAGTCATTCAGGTATTCTTGTATGTCAGGAAATTTAGCGTACCACTGTTTGCAACAGTGGTTTACTTCCGGAGGGCGTTATCCACTGACTTAGTATAGTTTGCCTAGTAATCGACGGTGCTTTTCCCATTCTAGTACCGTATTAACCTTCTCGGTTATACTTCTAGTTCTAACCTTATCTCTATAGCTCTTTCTTATATATAGATCTAGCTCTTTCTATAATAGCTTAAATACTATTTAATCGTTATTATTGTTATCGTCGCTATACTGCCTATCTTATCTAAACTAGTACCGCCGCCGTTTAGGCCTAACTATATACTATATAATATAATCGATATCTAAAAGTAGCTATTTAATATACTATAGGGGTTAACTTTCGAGCCTAAGCGCTTCGAGGTGCTAAAGGGCTATATAAGCAATATATATAAGGAGGCGAAGTCGCAAAGGACAAAGGATAGATTATAATAGCGGTCGTACTAGTATTATTATTATAGGCGCGATTAGTAGCGAAATAAGTCGCCCTCGGAGGGTATTCGCAAGGCTAAATATAATAAAGAGCCGTATAATACTATAATACTAGTTATCTCGTACTTCTAGAGCAAAGAAGAGGCTAATCTATATAAAATTAGTATCTACCGTTACCGAGTCGACCCTTCTATAGTAGGTAATAACCTATACTACTATAACCTAAAGCATATAGATATTAGGTCGGCTAGCAACGCCTTAAGGGTATTGCTCGAGGAGTTAATAGAATAGCGTAAATTTAACGTTACTAAGGTTATTAAATTTATTAAAAATAGCCTAATAAAGGACGAGTTTAGCAAGATTAGTAGGTAGTATATAAAGGCTAGTACTATCGGTTAGTTAAAGATTAGGCCGGACTTAAAGAAGGTGCGTAGTGCTAGACCCCGCAGTAGTTCGGTTTCCGAACTACTAAACGTATATAGTTTGGTTTCTTAGCGGCGAACTAGCTCCCTAGTTCTAGTTTGGTTTTTTCGAACTATATAGATTCCTAGTTTGAACTAGAGACTATATTAGTTTTACTATAAGGACACTCTTATTCGACTGCCGGCTACGATTGCCGGCTATAATAGTAACTCTGTTACATTTACTACGCTCTTTTACCGTTACTAGGGCGTAGTTGCCGTTACTAGGGCGTAGTTTTGCTATAAGGACACTCTTATTCGACTGCCGGCTACGATTGCCGGCTATAATAGTTACTAGGTTGTATTTACTACGCTTTATTACCGTTACTAGGGCGTAGTTGCCGTTGCTAGGGCGTAGTTGCTATTGCCGGGGCGTAGTTACCGTAGTTACGAAAGCTAACCTATATAACGTTACGTAGGCGGTAACAATTAGGGCTTCGCGATATTCTTACACTTTTAACTTCTTCCTCTATACCTATACCGACAATAACTACTATACGCTACGCCCCCGCCCCTTTCCCTTATAATAGTAAGAGAGAAGCGCGCCGCGCGCTAAACAGAAGATAGAACTAAAGACCGCGAGTTTGTTTTGCCTAAGCGTCTAACTAAAAAGCGTAAGACTAAAGAGGAGTACTCTACGAAGAAGAATTCCGTACGAGACTACGAGAGAAAGGACAAGATAGATAAGGATAAAAGAGCTAAGGATAAGAGAAGAAAGGCGCGGAATAAGGCATTCTATCGATAGCTAGCGCCTATAGAAAAAAGTAAAGGTTAGAATAAGAAGACAACCTAAGAGAAGGCTAAGAGGAGGAAAGAATTGCGGCTAGTTTTCGAGCGTAAAGTTCTAGTAGCGTAAGTTAATCTAGCTAGCGGCCGTAGCTAGCAGCTATAGCCGGTAGCCGTAGCCGGCAGCTATAGCCGGCATATTTTTCTTTAATACGTTAACTAATAGCATTTAGACCTATAGCCGCTACCTCTATCGATACGACCGATAGTAACGGAGATATTTAGATAGCCGAGAACAACAATACTAGAGTTTAGGATGCCGCGATAGAGCTTAATACTACGAATAAAGGAACTAAAAAAAGCGAGGAGATACTATACGTCGATCTAGTAATAGGTGCAGTCTTAGGGCCTAACGCTATAGACGATAAGCGCTAGGAGTAGATCGAGTATAGTCAAAGAGACGAGATACTAGTAAAGGGCTAAGGCATAAGTCCTATTAATCTAGAAAATCATAGTTAAAGCTACTACGAAAAGCTAGTAAGGATTGGAATCGAGACTAGTCGTCTTTATATCCTCGATATAGAGTAGAAGTTTCTTCGTTAGTATTAGAGCGAAGCCTTTACGTCTATAAAGGCAAAGTAGCTTGCGATTAATGCGATCGGGGCTAGGTATCTAGGGACGGTAGAAGTATTACTATAGGAGGAAGGGGTATAGGTAATTATTCTATACTCGGCATACACAGCCGGCGTTCGTAGCCGGCAGATACTAATAGTTAAATAGAAAGCGTTTCTCGAAGGCAGAGTGCTACTACTATATAAAATCTTTACTAAGGCAGAGAGGGCTTATATCCGGAATCTAAGCTGCTAGTAGGATAGGTTAGCGTTAGAATTCTCTAAATCTCTATATAAGCCTCCGAAGGATTACCTATTTTAGCGATACGGCTTTATCTCGACTACTCCGTAGGCACCCGAAGAAGCTCGAGCGCTCTTTAAGATCTTTACTAAGAAGCGGAAGGAGTTCGAGGATTAGGATTAGTTAATAGAGCTATTAGTTAGTCTTAGGTTTCGTAGTTAGACTCGGCCTAAGTATTTGCTTGTCGAGTGTCTTATACCGAAAGAGGATAGATTGAGACTAAAAACGAGCTTAGATTCGTTAGATATAGTAGCTCGGTTCCGTTAGTAGAAGAGAGCCGCCGTATAGAAGGCAAAATTTAGGTAGTTAGGGTAGCTAGGAAAGAAATTCTAGTAGTTAGGCTAGCTAGGGTAGCTAGGAAAAAAAATCTAGTAGTTAGGTAGCTAGGAAACAAAAAAAAAGATAGCTAGCTATTTACTACCTAGCTATTCCTAACGATACGATGCTATAAAAGAAAGGGTGTTTCCCTATAGCTACTAGTATACATCTACTACTCCTAAGTCCTTACCTTACCGTACGAAACCTTAAAACATACCGACCGACATTGTATATATACTAGGCGCTATACTAGGAAGGGTAACAACAAGACGATAGTCGAAACAGTCTAGTATACGAGCGAGATTGCGACAACGTCGAGAGGAGGTCGTATACTTACCTTCGAGCCTATCGAGTCCTAGACGACGATTAGGGCTAGATTTATCCTCTCCGAATCCTAGTAGTAGGAATTTATTATAGGGTACTACTACCTAGTCCTTACCTTTACGGAGTCTAAGTAGAAGGTTGTTCGGAGATATAAGAATATCGAGTATTAACCCGGAAATCTTCGAAAAGGCTAGCTAGGCGTATCTTTAGAAACCCGAGTATATAGAGCAGTTTAATTAATAGGTCTATAAGATATAGTTCCCTTTATACTTACGTTCGAAGGAGTATAAACTCCGGAAGTACTCGATGCGATAGGGGAGTAAGGAGCGAACGGACACATTCTAGAAGTTCTTTATAGAGGGGGCATTATACCGTTATACGACTTCTCGACTTAAAGGTTAACTAGTAATTGTCTGTAACTTCTACGGTTTAATCTTAAATACCGAAACTAGGGGATAGGAACTTATCGCCTACGAACTATCTCTATTCTAAACAGTATCGGGAATCTTAAGGAGAGAGGAGAGTTAATATAGATACAGCGTTCTAGAAAGAGGTACGTCTTCTAAAATGCCGGCTATAGCTGCCGGCTATAGCTGCCGGCTATAGCTGCCGGCTATAGATTCCGGCTACAGATTCCGGCTACTTGAATTAACCGTAGAGGTCTAGCTAATTATTATAGGCTACGCTTAAGGAAGCTCTAGGATTAAAGGCTACCGATTTCTCCCCCGAAGACTTTAAGCAACTAGCAAACGAAATGCTAGCTACAAACGGTCTTCCGGAAGACTTCTACGAAAGGGAGTCTATATAGAAGATATACCTATATCTTATAAACTACCCTCCCCTATTTCTTAGCGCGACAACCTAGCGTATTATATTCGAAAAGAACAAAGAGGCTGCGTTAGACGACATTCGGGAGATCCTCCGTAATACTCGCCGAGTAGCTATTGCTATCGATAGCTAGTTAAGCCGGACTATAAGAGCCTCCTTCCTCTCGATTATACTATACTTTATTAATTCGGATTAGAAACTCTAGGAACTTATAATCGGATTCCCTGAAATTCTA